TATAACTGCATGGTAAGGTTATTATTACGCTCCTCAACTGACTTAAAACATTTTCTAACTTATTTTATATACAAAGACTGGTATGAAAGTTTGGCTGTATCTGTAGAAATTACGATAATGTTGTTTATAATACTATCAAATTAAGATCTGATCCATGTTAACTCGTTGGTCCTTTGAATAAATAAGGAAGTGTGGTATCCACTTCATTTGAACTTTGGTGGATTGTTGTCTCATTGGCAATCATACCACGTCTCCTTATTTTTGAAATGAAAGACAAGAATATCAACAACATATACATGCATATCAAAAGTTGCTATCAACTATTGGACATCATTGTTGATATTTTCAGTCATTCAGTCATGGACCTGAAGGTTACTATTGTGTCATTGTCCTTCAATCTGTTAATTTCGTTTTTCTATCATCATTTGTCATAGAATTGAAGTGAGAAAGAGCAAATTCCGAAACAGTAATTAACATATTAAAACATTGACAAATTTAAACTGTTAAAAGTCCCAAACTCTTAGAATGACAAATCAGAATAAAAAGTTGCGCCATGAGAGCATGAAATGCCAGTCGATTTTCAAAGGAATAAAGTTCCATAACTCCTTATGTCATATCTGAAATTTCTATAAAAAAGGGTTATCTTAATAGATATAAACCAGTAACCAAAGTTTCATGAACAATGCTCAAATCACATTTGAGTTATTGTCCGAAAACTGGAAAATCCCATAACTCGGAAACGTAAAATCTAAAATTTATTAACATAGAAAGGGAGCTTACGTCAATAGATATAAACAATTCACCAAAGTTTCATAAAAACTGCTCATAGCATTTTTTTAATGAATAAAACCCCATAACTCAGAAACTTACAATTTATAAAAATCGCCGGCATCAGTGATATAACCAATTCACTAAAATTTCGTGCAAATTGGTTAAAGCGTGTTTGAGAGTTGACGACAGACGGACTGACAACGGCATACCGTAATGTCCCGTAAAAAATTCAGAACTAGAGGTTCTAAAAGGCACGTGTCGCTCATCAATATTTACAGTTTCTCTTTATCAACTTAAATGTTTGTCCAAAACACAATGAAGGGGAGGAAATCATCATTTAAGCGCAATTGCTCTAACAAAAAGTCTACTGCATTTTTAGGCAAAATTTTACTCATTTGTAGATTTGAAGAGCAAGAACTCCAATAAGGAGTCAATTGATGAATTAGGCCACATTGATTTACTTGTAGATCTCATCGTGCTGACCATTTTTGCTATTTAAAGTTTTTATATATCTAATATAGTTTAGAAGATAATAAAATAAAAGGGTGTCTTCCGCTATCTTGGATTGTAAAATAGCAGAACACAATACTAGTATATATGTCTGGAATTTTAATTAGGTCAGGAAATTTTGATGCAGAAATGCAACTTACTAACAAGAGTTTTCATTTATATGAACAAATTATTGTGATCTTAGGTTATAAATGGCATCACTCATATTGTTACAAAAGTAGAATATTTTTGTTTGATGTCAATTTTTTTGAAATTTGTTATTAAGGGGAGGTAACTCAGAAAAAGTATAATTTATAAAGGAATCTTCAGGAAAAAACTTAGCCACCCCATTTTTTCTTTTGAAATTCTGAAGCATTTTCTAAGTGGTATCTTCTCAAGTTTTGTTTTCAAATTCTATTATTTGGTTTACCTTCTATTCACCTTATGATGCATTTTCTCTGTATGATCCATACAAAATCTGTCATATTTTCGCCACCTGTAGCTTGGAAACAAGCTCTGTGACCTACCATTCATATCATACTTTTAAACATATCACAATATAAACAGTCTACAGGGAGACATGACATCCTATCACAGACACATTATTAAGACTCAGAGCAGACCAGTCTTTGCTCTTACTTCTTATTGCAGCATGCTTAGCTGAGAAGCAGCAAATACCAATTTTAAAGTCTTGTTTTGACCCGGATGTGCATGGTTCGAACCCATGACCTTCAGCACACGAGATGAACATGCTCACTCGAGACCATTGAGGTGGTTACAATAGTACTGAAAAAATGTATGAAGAAAATACACGTTCAAGCCATTCAACATCAGTATCAGAAAACAGGACTCAGACTTCTTTTAAACTGGAGTTTTACTGTCCCTATTGCTGTTTTTTTTATTCAAAATTGGCCAGAGGTATAGGGGAGGGTTGAGATCTCACAAAACATGTTTAACCCCACCACATTTTTGCACCTGTCACAAGTCAGGACCTCGGGAGTAAGTTAGTCTTGTATGTCTTTTTAATTTTGGTTCATTTATATGTTTCAGAGTTTTAGTGTGATATCCATTTTCGCGAAACTAGTATTCATTTTTTTAAGGGGCCAGCTGAAGCCTGCCTCCCGGTGTGGGGTTTTCATGCCGTGTTGAAGACCCATTGATGGCCTTTGACTGTTTTCTGCTCTTTGGTCGGGTTGTTGTCTCTTTGACACATTCCTCGTTTCCATTCTCAATTTTTATTCTAATTACAATTCATCACTGTCAAGTTTTGGACCAAAAATTGGAAAAATTGTCACAAAAACAGATGGATAAATAAATAAGATGTGATATGAGTGCCAATGAGACAACTCTCCATCCAAGTCACAATGTAAAATAAATTGCTTCGCTGAGCGCAGCTGGATACGACCGCAGATGTCCAACCCTGAAAAGTTGGGGCCAAAATGGACACAATATTCACGCTCGACGATACAGGTCTGAATTTGGATTGTTATTAAATTTTTGACACATAATAGGTTTCTGAAACAGAATAACTGTAGTCAAAGAACTTTAAATTGGTTATATTATATGAATTTATATTCAATTTTTTGCTTTTGTGCAATACACTATGCGAATTGACTCCCCCCCCCCCCCCCCCCCCCAAAAAAAAAATAATTTTACCCTGTTTTTTTGCGTTTGAGCAATACACTATGCTGTTGAATATTAACTCCCTAAAAAAAATTTTGAAGATATTTTCTTTTAATTTCTGAAATCTGAAATGAGAAAAATTGTCCCCCTCCAATTTTTTTCACCGCCCCCCCCCCCCCCCCCCCCCCCCCTTTCCCTTATTCAAAAAAATAATTCTTTCCCTCAAGTTATGGTCAGTATCTCAGACAATCATTTCTTAATACATAATTTACAAGCAGTGTAAGGGAGGTAATCAAACATTGTTATTTAAATTGTTTTGGATTTTGATTTGGATTAACTCCCTAATTTAGCTTTTAAATTGTCTCAATTGTCCTTTAACCAGAAAAACCGTTGTTTTTCTCCTTTTTGCTCCTAATTCCTAAATGATTTGAGCCATAACCCCCCGAAGTCAATCCTAACCATCCCTTTGTAGTATGGAAACTTGTGGTATAATTTCATAGATTCATACACTTTAACACAAGTTATTGTCTGGAAACTACAAAAATGCTTATTTGGGCCCCTTTTTTTGGCCCCTAATTCCTAAACAATTGGGACCATAACCCCCAAAATCAATCCCAACCTTCCTTTAGTGGTTATAAACCTTGTGTAAAAATTTTATTAATTTTTATTTACTTTTTGTCGAGCCTTCGACTTTAGTCGAAAAAGCGAGACATAGCGATCCTACATTCCGTCGGCGTCGTCGTCGGCGGCGTCCACAAATATTCACTCTGTGGTCAAAGTTTTTGAAATTTTAATAACTTTCTTAAACTATCCTGGATTTCTACCAAACTTGGACAGAAGCTTGTTTATGATCATAAGATAGTATCCAGAAGTAAATTTTGTAAAAATAAAATTCCATTTTTTCCGTATTTTACTTATAAGTGGACTTAGTTTTTCTGCCAGTAATTTTACATTCACTCTGTGGTTAAAGTTTTTAAAATTTTAATAACTTTCTTATACTATTTTGGATTGTACCAAACTTGGACAGAATCTTGTTTATGATCAAATGCTAGTATCTAGAAGGAAATTTTGTTTTCTTCCAGTTAACATTACATTCAGTCTGCAGTTAAAGTTTTTAAACATTTATTAGATTCATAAACTATCCTGGATTTTTACCAAACTTGGACAGAATCTTCTTACAATCAAAAGATAGTATCAAGTGGAATATTTCTATTGATTTACTTCCTCATTTTTGTTGAGCTTGCGATTAACAGAAAAAGTAGGCGAGACACTGGGTTCCGCGGAACCCTTACGAATTTTTTAAGTTATTACCCGGAAACCATCTGTCTTCGACGATGACGACAACAACGTGATACCAATATACGACCAAAATTTTTTTTATTTTTGCGGTCGTATAAATAGTTAACAATTATATAGGTCAAAGGACGGCCTTCAACAAGGAGCCTTGGCTCACACCGAACAGCAAGCTATAAAGGGCCCTCTAATGACTAGTGTTAACCAATTCAAACAGGAAAACCAACGGTCTAATCTATATAAAAAACGAGAAACAAGAAACACTTTTAACCACATCAACAAACAATAACCACTGAACAACCGGCTCCTGACATAGGACAGGTGCATACAAATGCAGCGGGTTTAAACGTTTTAACAGGTGCCAACCTTCACCCTAACCTGAAACAGCAGTGTAACATTACAACATAAAAAGACACACTATAAAATATCAATTGAAATGGCTGAACTCGATCAACTTATGTGTGTTCCCCCCCAAACAGAAGTTCCCCTGAAAACTTTTTATAAACAATGCCATAATATCTGTTCCTGTTGAAACAAATATTCTATACCCTTTATTCTGTAAGGAACAAATACTGTAATATTTATTCCATTGGAAACAATATTACAGACTAGTTCTTCTACTTGGAACTTATGTTATGAATGAAATTCTATTTCATGACAGATAAATAAAGGCAACGGTAGTATACCGGTGTTCAAAGGTCATATATCGATTGAGGGAAAACAAATCTGGGTTACAAACTAGAATCGAGGGAAACATAAACAAAGGAACAAGCTGATTACCCTCCTAGAGTGGATGTATAATAATTAACAAATAAATAATTCACTACATTACAAACATTCTGTCATATGAAACAAAATGATTTATTACATTTGTAAAAAGACAGGCATAATATGAGAGAGATTTAAAAATGTTTCTGTACAAATAAATACATGTCAAAGAAATCACATGACATCAAAATGGCTGACATGATACAGCTTAAAACCTCTTTGTATGTTTTACATAGCATGTGACAAAATCCATGATGATCTTCTTCATTTCAGAAACCGTGCACCTGTAATTAGAGAATATTACATATTTACAATTGTACATAAAAGATGAATTCAGAGATTTCTTACAACCGTTTTTCGTAAAAATTCTTCTAAGTTTAGAACTTTTGAAATACAAAAAAATGTACGATGGTTCTTTGAATTCTAGAAACTCTATAGTAGATTTCTTTTTCTTTAAATTTTTAATATCTTCAAAATGTACTGTCATGACTGTTTCATATAAACTTAAAATTTATTATTTACCACAAAAATATTGTTTTACATGGATAATTTTGCTCACAGAAATAAAAGTAAAAATTTCTGTACAGGAAGTGAATCATTGTGTATATAGATCACAGTTAAGATAAAGGACACAGAAGAAGTTATTCTGAGACAAAAAATTAATAATGGGACTGACTTCACTTCATTTGAACTTATTTGTCTCATTGCCAATCATACCACATCTCCTTATTTTTATATTGTCAATTTGCATGTGATATCATTTCTTTTAAATCAGAGTTTTGCTTACATCTTTTACATCATTTAATTTGTAGTGGATAGTTGTCACATGATCATATTCTAATAATAACATTACATGTATGTTTCATTATAATACCTTTTTTTAATTGGCTAACAGCAATCTCGTGTCATTCTGAAATTAACCTTCATTTCAAAATGAAATGTAACATTCATGACGACACGAGCTTCCACAATAAAGTGCACAGGTAAATAAAAGAAAAAACTTGATAGAAATCGTGTTTTCATGATCCTAGCAAAAAATGTAATTATAAGTATTGAATGCTTCGTTTAGTAATTTTATAGGGTTGTAAAAGCGTTGACGGGGCGCACATTTTTAGAAAGAAGCGCGGAAATACAAAATGTACTTCCAGTGTTCTCCCCAGGCCGTTTTAGCGTCGCGGCACCGAGACGCTATATTTTTTCCCGTGACGCTATTTTTCTTGTCTCTTTATCGCAAAACCATGTCCTAAATTTTGAACTTTCATCTAATTACCGCTTGTCATCATAAAAATTATATCACCTTTAATTGTAATCCCTTCAAGTCCGACAATACAGGCAATTTAGAGTGATTAAATAGGTGTTAATTGCCCTTTGGGTGATAACTGAATGGATACGAATACCCCAAGCTGACACTTGTGACATGACTAATACCACGTGGTGCAATCGCAAATTTCAACATGTAGAAAATTTAATCAGACAGAAAATCGAAAAACGATTCGAAATCTACGCTTGCATAATCCAAATTCAAAGATACAAACGATTTCTCTCTTTAGAAAAGAGGTTAGGTCGTATATTTTTACAACTTTTAAAAAATTACTTTCTTTCATTTCTGGTATCTAGTTAATCGAGAGCGTACATGCCGTATATTAAACATTTTGATTTTGAGTTAAGTAAGTTTGATACTACTTTAGAAAGAGATCATAATTGGCTTTAGTTAATGTTTCATCCATTAAATGCATTAAAAGCGTCATATGCATTCCCAATCTCTTGTCAAACATTGTTTATTTTCGTAAATTTTTCTCCCGCAGCCATTGAAATATTTGTGTAAACTACGGATCGGAACCGGACCAGATATGACAAAATTCCGCATTTTTACGATAATATCTACAGATGCACACAAGGCACAGTAGACAGAAAAAATTATCACAAAAGAGAAAACTACGCATTTCAAACGCATTAACAGACTATTTATTAGATATCTTTGCTAAATGTATTCTTTTTGAAAATGCATTGTTTTAATATATTGACTAAAGTAGCTTAACTTTGTTAAAAATATCAGAGACATATAAATACATGTCTCTGAAATTATATATCATTTTGATATAAAGAAACAACTGGGTATAATTCATTGAGTACCATGAAACAATGAATTTTATAGACATGATAAAGAAAAAAGTTTTTTAATTGAAATTTTATTGCTATATGATACTTTCTCTACCCTTTTTATATAAAAACCAGTTCTTTTTTTTTGCTAGATATTTAGTATTGTATATATACAGGTTGCACTGTAACAAACCATTCATTCATTTAGTTGACTAGGTAGGGTTACTGGAACCACACATATATATTTATTTGGCCCAAGAGGAAAAAAATAATTCTGTAACTATAAATGAATATAGAAAACATAAACTGAAACAACTGTTATCATGGTTATAGTTTAATTGTATTCTCAGTTATGAATTGAACAATATAAACATATATAACATAAAGGAAATAGAGCATCGCCGCGACGCGTCAAATGACATTGAAAAAAATACAGTTTATTTTTTTACGCCAAATGTGATGCTATCCAAAATTTCTGGGAAAACACTGACTTCGATCAATGCTTTTACACCCAAATAAATTTACAAAAAGAAGCATTCAATTCTATAATATTAAGTTTCAAGCTTATTAACCATGTTACCATGGTTACTGTGGATTCATTATTATTCGTTACCAATTTTCTTTGATTTTATGGAAAAAAGGTGAAAAACAAATTTAGCTAGATATTCTACGAAGTACACATTTTCTACAGGCTTGTATACAGAATTTGGCAAAAAATCAATATCCTCAATAATACAAGTTTTCCCATATCCACAAAAATTAGTATCAATAAAAATTAAGGAGTCCACACAGAATATTGAGTTAAAACAAATGTTTACCTTGAGTTGATCTTCTCTTGCAATGCCTATGATTTTAAGAAAGTCCCTTATATGCGTTCTCTGGTCTCCTTGTAACTGGATAACTTCCCCGTATTCTGGATGTTCAACCACTGTTCCATTGCACGCAAATTCCTAAAATACACAGAAACCACAAGTTGCTAACTTCAAACATAATTACACTAGTTAAGCATGTTAAGTGATTCTTTCCTTATGATTATAGTAAAGTACCATAAGCATAAAGAGGACAATATAATTCTGTTATAACAAAATTTAGCACCACAATTTAAGAAATTTGACGTCATAATAATTAAAAAGAAAATATTCAGCAAAAATACTCAGTGTAAAAACCTCAATACTATACATACTATACTGTATAGGTTTCGTTTATTAGTGAAGGTTGCACAGTGGCCTGTATTTACATCCTTGTCCTTTGATCTTTCATGGAAATTTGCCTATGGGCAATCATACATTGTTCCACATCTCCTTAAGTTCATACATGTAAAAGCAAGTTTTATGAATTCTTCCTTTAAAAGCACTAACAAAAGTCTTATAAAAAACCCATTGCACATTGCTTTAGGTCAGTAGGCATATTTATGTTAGTAGTAGTAGTTACGTCCCTTTTAAAAAACAAAACGGTGCATGGTGTCTTCAAATTAACATACATCATACATGTATATACATTGATATACATTACATGCATGTATATATAATCTTACATCTTTATAATTTTTACATGCCTTTTGACAAAAACATGTCTGAGGAATCCTGCTTTTCTCACTGTAAATAATTGAATGTTCTGTTTAATGGAGTGTTCAAAATTGTGGTTTACAACTATATCTAAATTCCCATAAGATATATTCATTACAAGTGCAAGTGACCTAATATGGAATTAACTGACCCATATGTATCGTATGAGATAACTAGCACACTGTGTAACTAATAATATACTGCATTTCTTTAATTCATATTTGAAAACTATTACATCAAATCACCTTTTTACAAGCTTTAACAATCTTTTTGAGGTCATAATCAGGTGATATTCCTTGGACGGTGGTCAGTGTTTTTCTGCCATTTCTCTGCTGAATACGTATGTGGATCAATCCCTCCTGGACACCTGCTGTCCCATCTTCATCCACCGATGCATCCTTGAACGGATCTGTACAACAAATGATCAAATTACTGATGTTTATCATGTTAATCTGACTCAAGTGCATGGATATTTGATGATAGTAAAGGTTCACAAGTGTATAGAACAAGAACAAGAAAATATTTTATTACCAATATAAAAGGGCCCACAACATGCACAAGGGGCATATAGAGCATGTAAAAGGAAGAACATTGATTAGCATAGAAACATAGAATCTAAATACACAATACAATTAGACTGTAATAAAGCCCTTGGTTTATAGCTACATGTAGTATATAATATAGTCACATGAAAAATAAATAAATCTAACTATATTCACTTTATAAATTTTCCAAAGAGAGATAATTTTCTGAATTCATAACCAAAATTTTGTTTAAATTTGTATATGTTTTATTCATGGTAATGGACTGTAGGTAGGTTTTCCTTTTACATCAAAATTTTTCTTGCACTTATTTCTACCCCGGTTTTTAGAGGAGTTTGTGTTGACCGTCACCAATATTTAATAAGTAGTTTCAGTGTGTTTTTTTAATGTTTCAATCAAACAATACTTCTGCTTCTTTTTAATGTGTCAGTTTCTTTTCAGCTTTACCATGTACATTTTGGAAGAGAAAAAAATTGAAGCACTATTTCTCCTGAGACCAGCCATGTAAATGTTCTTGTTGTTTTACTTCCCGTTTCTTGCACCAACTAGACATCCCGGCAGATTTAGTGTCCCTAGGACCTATAACTATGATGTCACTCACTGGGTTTGGATTAGGATTTAAAATGAGCACTTCGGCTCTTGCAGACGAAGAACATTTTTAATGGCAATATGTAGAATAGCAACCACTAAACTTTTATATTTGTTGTATGTTAATTTATATTATGCCATATGTCTTCTACAGTGTAAATAAACGTTTTGTTTATAGTATACTGGTGTAGTTTGTCCTAGTCCAAATTATTATGTCGTCAAAGTTAAAAAATTTTATAGCCTTTCATTGAAGTTTCAAGACATCATACATGTATGTAATATACTTGGATTAAGGTTGTCCCAGAACTTGGGTAAAATTAAAAACGGGAAAACAATAAAGCAAATGGAAACAACTCCTGTAACATGTCCAGAATGGATTTTGACGAGTAATGAAGTTGAAGTACAGCTATTTACTTCTGTCAAGTGCTACCAAGTCGGCAAGTGGCTACAAAATGTGCAGTACAAGTTTGTCAAGAATGACGCAACATTCGACTGTCAACAATCGCTTCTATTGTTCTGTCAAAATTGCTTTCTCCACAGATCTATCAAAATCGTGTTTTAATGATAGAAAAAGAAACAAACAAATCTTTTCTTCTTACGAGTTTTACGCACTTAGTTAACAGCTGATCAACTTCAAAGAGCTTCGTTATAAACAAATAAAAATATAAACGAGCAAATTTCTTACCAAGGGTCTGACCAAAAGTTGTGCTGATACTTGTCATAAAAACGTTTGTGTAGCAATTGTCAATAAGAAAACAAAGGTTTTTAACAGATGGTTGTGGATTTGTCACAATTTACTGTCTTGGATTTGTTTACGATTTTTCACCGGAAGTCAATGAAACCACCGGAAGTGAAAATTAATACGTCTAGATACCAACAAAATAATTTCCGTTTTAATAACACAACGGGCAATAAATTATTGAACTAACTTATTATTTCTGACAATTTTGTCATAAGGGTATTTTCTTTAAGAATAAAAAGTTAGAAAGTTAAGACAAAATGTCCAAGTTTAGGAATATAGTAAGCAGAGAAAAGATGAAAGTGAACTGACTAAATGTAGGCACTAGCTACCCAACCCTCTTATGGTTGATTCTTTTTTTTCTTTCAGTGCATTTTTTCTAGTTTTTGGTTGCCCTCCTCCTAATTTTTGGTGGGCCCATACTCCCCTTTCTTGAAAGGCATAGATATGCAACTAAAAAAAAAATGCAGTTTTTTTTAAACTTCTATAATATGTTCCATTGGTCCTTTATTTGTGCAAGTAAGTCTACTTTATTTCTTTTTTTCCCTGAATTAGAACTGATAACATAAAACATTCTGAATTCTCATTAACTTGTGGATATTGTGAAGATCGTTCAGAATATTATCAACCGAAAATTTCAAAATTGCTTTTATAATGCCTGAATTTGCCCACATTTACAAATGTTGAAATCATATGGCATATACATTTGCGGTATCACAAGAATGATAAAGTAAGTAGGAGGAAGAAAAAGTAGAGAACAAAGACTGCTGTAGCCGCTTTCTACTCTCAAAGATAGGTGATTTTTGCTTTATGTCTTTAAGATCTCCAGTCTTTATAGCCAGTGGATTGTCAGTTGAAAAGACTTACTAGGATATATCTCCCTCAAGAAAAGTGGAACAGGCCAAATCCTGACAAAGTCTAATGTTCATTTTATTTATCATTTCCTGTTTTTCAAGTATTTGGAATATTACATAATTTTTAAACTTATGAGATTTTTCAGCTTATTTAAATCTCTTATTATGTTATTTTACATTACTAAACTCAAGAATATTTATATAGTACATGTAACTATTGAAATCTCTGCTTAACTGAATAAAATACACTGAAATTTAAATACATCTACTTCCATTTTTGAAACTTTTGGTTAGAATTTCAGGATTTCTCTTTAAAAATTATTTCTAATTAAACTAATACTTTAAATCAAAGTGCAAGAGCGCCACCGTAAAGCAATTGTCGCCAAAGTCAAGGTTTTTGTGATTTATACTAGTTTTTATCCTTATATAAAAGAACTACACCATGTACAGCGGACAGCAGACTATATTGATCAAATACAGAAAAGACTACGGGTATTGACAATTGATTGCATCTACCTCAGTATCATAAGAATTTACTTCTCTTTTTGAAACTGATAGGTTTGTATCCTTTGTTTTATTAATTCTTTTTTGTAATGTTCAAATCCATTTTATTTCATGTCTGAGAATACAATCAACTTCGACAAGTTTGGCATGAATATAGGTAACAAAAATAGCAGATTCGCCATACCTGAAAAGCAAAGTTCGGTCTGCACGGGCTTCCAATTTTAAAAGACTGAGCCCCCATCCAAATATTGCACTTAGTCCTGAACATGCATGAAATATTTGCAACTGGAAATTAAACAAACAACAATCAATCAATCAAAGACTGAACACTTTTCATCCATTTGAATTTTCAACCCTATGCCACAGATTATGGCAAACTCTCCTGCATACAAGTTTCTGTTGAAAATTGATCCCAGAAGCTTTTCGAACACATCACATTCAGTATGAGTCATGTTGATGCAGTTACTTTTCTTGTGCACAATAAATAGATATAAGAAGACTTGGTATGAGTGCTAATGAGACAACTCTCCATTCAAGTCACAATGTGTAAAAAGTACCGGTAAACAATTATAGGTGAAAGTATAGCCTTCAACAGAGTCTGGGCTCACACCAACAGCAAGCTATAAAGGCCCCCAAAAATGACTAGTGTAAAACCATTCAAACAGGAAAACCAACAGTCTAATCTATAAAAATAAAATGCTTCGCTGAGTGCAGCTGGATACGGCCGCAGAGGTCCAACCCAAAACAGTTGGGGAGAAAATGGACACAATATTCGTGCTTGATACAAGTCTGAATTTGGATTGTAATTAAATATTTGACACATAATAGGTTTCTGACACCGAATAACTGTAGTAGTCAAAGAACCCCCTTTTTTTGCAAAAAAAAAAAATTTGAAGAAATTTTCTTTCTAATTTCTGAAATCTAAAATGAAAAAAAAAAATTGCCTGCTACAATTTCTTTTTAACCCCACTCCCCCCACTTTAAAAAAAAAAAATTCTTTCCCTCAAGATATGGTCATAATCTCAATTCAAATTTCTAATGGAGTTTGCAACCATAATCACCAATTTAAATACATCATTAAAGTCTTAAATAGATAATTTAAAAGCAGTGTAAGGGAGGTAATCCAACATTGTACAATTTTTTTTGGATTACCTCCCTTACACTGCTTTTAAATTGTCCATTAACCAGGAAACACTTGTATTTTTCCCTTTTTTGACCCTAATTCCTAAATGGTTTGAGCCATAACCCCCCAAAGCCAATCCTAACCATCCCTTTGTGGTATGGAAACTTGTGGTATAATTTCAGAGAGATCCATACACTTAAACACAAGTTATTATTGTCTGGAAGTTACAAAAAATGCTTATTTTTTGGCCCCTAATTCCTTAACTGGTGGTACCATAACCCCCAAAATCAATCCCAACCTTCCTTTTGTGGTATTGAACCTTATGGTAAAATTTCATAGAGATCCATTCACTTTAACTTTTTGCGGTCGTATAAAAACGAGAAACGAGATACACTTATGAACCACATCAACAAACTGATCAAAGTTAATCACATTCTCTTTGAAACTGATTGTATTTTGCAAAATAAAACCTTGTTGAAATTACCCTCTTCATTTGGAAAATGCCTGAAAATGGCACAATTAAACATGTCCTAATCTCTCTGGTCATTTTCAGTAAGAAAGTGCCTTAGCTGGTGCCATTAAAGATGTTTTTCCACTGCTCCAATGATTAATATGAAACTTTTTTTCCCATTTCTATTGCTTTTTCTTCAATTCTTTAATAATTTAATGAAACAAATAAGAAATTCATGACAAAAATCTCTAAACACGACAAAACAAAGAGAAAAGGAGCAGCACTTTTATTGTGGTTATTCATCAATACACAGCAAGGCTTTCGACAAGGGGCTAGAAATCTGGTCCCACAGGAAGTTCAAGACTAGCTCTGGTTTTAGCTAACTCCTTGTAAACTGTTTAATCTGCATGTTTTTGTTTTACTAGGAAGATTTTTTTTAAACTTTGTGTTGGATGAATCCATCTCGTTTTAAATAATGAAGTAAATTCCACATTGGCTATAACTATATACTTACATGTAATGCATGACTTTTCTACAAGTAAAATATAGTAATAATGAAAAACACAAACAATGGGTGTTTATATTTATTCTGTGATCACATGAAACATGATAAGCAGATCACCATGGTAACAATATCCTTCATAAGGTGAGCAATTACAAACAAAACACAACAACTATTCAATAATACTCTACAACATTTACTAACTATAAATAGCACTTATGTAACATTGATACGCTTCACTGATTTCTGACTTTTTTTTTGAGAATTCTAAATTAAATAATCAATTCCCCACATCTAATCACAAAAAAAAAGTCTTACATTGCATCTATTATAAAAGGTTGGGATTGAAAATGTAAATACTTTCTTCCATCATTAGTTAAATTAATAATACTTATAATATAACTATCCAAGAATTAAAAAATAGAAAAATATTTCACAAGTGACCGAACAACACGTTAATTCACGAATGTGAATATTCTATTTATTACACTGACCGTGGGCTTTTACATGGAAATAAAGTATAAAATACATTGAACTATATCTTTTTCCAGGCATTCTGTATTAGTTTTGACGGAAAGTCATCGACACTGTTGGAACAACACCCATTGTTGTATGACGCCAGAAGAGTGAAATTATCAGATTTATTTCACATGTGAAATTATATGTTTTTATTTAGCTAGGAAATCACAGTATTTTATAGCAACCAATGTAATAAATTAAAGGATTTAAGGTTATTTTGAAGGAAATTTGTTGACTAATTCACAAACTGAATAAAGTCTGTAGGATTTTGTGTTAAGTGTGCGAGTAAAAGGTCAAATTTACACATTGGCAACAGCACACTGATTTCTTACTCTTAGGATTTTTATGAGAATTCTTATTTAAGTAAAATTATGTCACAACATTTACTAAGGGTTAGCATTGAAAATGTAAATTCTTGCTTCTATCAATACTTAAATTATATTATATAGTAAAATAGTTATTTTGAAGGAGTTTCTTGATTTGTTAACCAGGGGCGATTCCAATATTTTTGAAAAGAGAATATTTAAAATAAAATTGGACAATTGCTAAAAAACATATATATCATGAGAAACACAAGATTTTTTTGCCGATCAAAGGAGGAGGGATGGGGGGGGGGGGGGGGGGGGGGAGGAAAGGATAACTGCAGCCACTCACTCAAAAACTGAAAAGAGTCTGTAGGACTTCATGTAAAGTGTGTGAATGAAAGGCCAAGTTTATCAAAAATAGTGGTACAATCTAATTGCTATCAGAAAGGGAAATAAAAAAGAGTACTGATCCTTTATTCTAGCTTTTTCAATAGTAATGAAAAGTAATTGTCAAATGAATTTCATTTCAGCTTTATAACACCAAATTAATTATCTCCCCTTAAAAAATGAATACATTTGTGCCAAAATTGTCTCCCTTGGGAAACTTAGGCTAAAGCCATTGATTTTTAGTATTGCTCCTTTAATAAATCTTAAACATTTTTTAAAGGAATATTTAAAGCAAGAACTTTTCAAAAAAAATTATTAAAATTTCGTTTTTAATTTGTAATTGAATGATATCAATTCAAAATACTGCCAGTGCCTGTACCATGTCAGGAATATGACAGTTGTTATCCATTCGTTTGATGTGTTTGAGCTTTTGATTTTGCCATTTGATTAGGAATGTTCCGTTTTGAATTTTGCTTGGAGTTCGATATTTATGTTATTTTACTTTTTACATTAATACTAAGATGGTAAAATTAGTTTAGCAGTGTTTATGCTTTAAAAATGACATTTCCTTGCCCTCTAACATACATCACTATTAAATCCATGTCCAGTCAAGATAAGTCAATGTAGCAATACAAAAGGTACAATCACAACACAAAACTGATTATATTTATGGTTTTTTTTTAAGTTAACTTCATTTTTTTTTACACAATTCCATGGCACTTCATCAGAAACAAGTATATAAAATATTTATATAACATGTATACATTCATTTCTTACAATATATAAATCAACATGCTTGGGAATGAAACTTCCCCAACATGTCCTCTAACCTCTAACCTCTAATTGGAAAATCCTTCCTGTACAGTTGCTACTTTCTATTCTTGTATGCAAAGCTTCTGTTTAAATTTTTATAAAAATACAAAGGGATAAAAAAGCATACATTGGGCAAATGAAACAGCAAATCTACGGTGACTAATTAGGGCTGTTACAGATTTAAACTCATAGTGGAGGCACTTTTTTTAGACCCAAACCACTAATAATATAAAGTTTTCATTTTACTTAAAATTCTTACAAAATTTGAAAGAAAATGCAATCACTCCATAATTTATTAATTTGAGTGCCTTTATCCATCCACTCATATGATTAAATCTGGAACGGCCATTATGAAAAATATTAATCACAAAAAAACTTCATGTTCAACCAACCTTATCCTTCAATAATTTAATTTTGGATGTAACACGTCTTCTGATTGGTTGAAAGTGTTTTGTCTATCAGCTCATAGACATAATTTTGTCATGTGACCGGGACGTCACCAACGTTTTTTTCAAAATTTACACCTTAAAAATGAAATTTAGAATTAAATTATAAGGAATGACTGTAATATTTTTTCTGTCTATTCAAAATAACATAAAAACTGTGGTGCACACTTTTGAATAACCCGCTACGCTGGTTATTCAGTGTGCACCACATTTTTTATGTTATTTCGAATAGACAGAAAAAATATTACAGTCATTCCTTAAATAATTGTAATTAAGCAGGAAACTTCACACAAAACTATTTTTAGATACCATAATTTTCATAAAAATAAGTAGATTTCTTAATTTTTTTAAAATCTTTTCTAACCAATCAAATCCAAAGTATTTAAGTTGAGTAGCTTGAACAATGACTGCTTGTTATAAAATCATCACTATATTAAACCAGCTTTATATAAACAAAATACCACCATAACTAACCCGTTCAATACGTAAGTATAAGGATGTTCAGTTTATATTCACTCTATTAAGCCAAAATTCTGTAATACACGGTAACAGCCAATGGTTTCGGAATCACGTGTCTTTATATCTAACCAAATCACAGTGGTGGTAGGTACCTTTTTTAGACCCCAATAATGTATAATTTCATTTTACTTGAAATTTTTACAAAATTCTAAAGAAAATGCAACCATCCGTTCCGTAAATATTCACTCTGTTAAGATAAATTCTGTCATACACGGTGAAAACCAATGGTTTCGAAATCACATGTTTTTGTATCTAACCAAATCACTGTAAATATTATAACTACATATAATTTTATCTGAATCATCATGTAGGTACTTTCATGACCAATAAAAATCTCTTCAAAAGGGTTGAAAACTTTAAAACAAAATCTGTTTTTAAAACCAAGATGCTCTACTGATTGAAAGTGAGAAAATCTATATTGCAGGAAACATTATCTGTTTATGGGAATCAGACATCAATACATACAAAACTGTACATTCAACATAACATAACAATTAACATGATTAAATTACATTATTTGGTAAGACATCTAAGAGTATAAAATGAAAATGATAACTATCATAAGTCAGTTATCTTTATTTTATTTATCAATTACCTCCCTTTGATACTTTAGACCTGTTAGGGGATGTTCTAAAATAAAACACATGGGGCATGGGAGGCACTTTTGTTAGACCCCAACCACCTATAAAGTAAAATTATGATTTTTACATTTTTCTTTTACATTATTCTAAGAAAAATACAACTACCCACAATTATTGAATTTGAGAACCTCCCATCCCCCATTCCATGATAAATTTTAGAACAGTTCTTAGAAAAGAAAAAATCAAATGTCTCATCCAGCTAACATTCAAGAGCCACAACTGACTGAATATTGAATTGTCAGTTATTTAGCAGTCAACCAAGCTAACAAGGGGAGGTAATATATGCAATTATTTCACCATTAGGGACAAAATTCTCATTAATCTACCATATGTGTAATATAATTAAGGGAGACAACTTGTTAATGGGTTTTCCAGAAATAAATGTATGGGAAAGGGGTTATGGGGTCGGAAAGCATGTTTTATTTAACCCTGCCATGCATAAAATTTCATTTGATTATTTCATATAATTGTTAAGGCTATCCATCTAAAATAACCACCACCCATCAAATTTTAATAAAAGTACCTTCCGACCTCCCCCCCCCTCCCATTTCCATCTTAAATAACCACCACCCATCAAATTTTAATAAAAGTGCCTTCCGATACCCCTAACCCCCCCACCCCCATTCAACTAATTCTGGAAAAGCCCTTTCATTCATACAAAATAAATAACATTTATCACCTAAGATATACATTGCAATGAAATATGATTGAAATTAATGAAAAAAGCACCATCAATTTGTATTACAACGTGTAAAAAATGTCAAGTTAAATAATAATAAAAATAAACAATATATAAATAACAAAGCATAACTAAGTACTAATTTGGCACAAAAATTAAAATTAACAACTTGTGTTAGATTACCTCCCCTTTTTCTTTAGACTTCTACAGTTGATAAAAGGGAAGTAATTTGTGATCATAGATAATTTTTTGGTGTAAAAATACAAACATAGTAAAAAATGGAATACTTTTGCCATACTTTTCAACAAGTCTTTCTTTTTTTTATAGAGAAAACTGTTTAAAATGAGAATGTATAACACAAGTCTTTTATAATAGAGAAAACATCTTTTTTTTAAAGAGAAAACTGTTTACAATGAGAATATATGCTACATCTGCATACCGATAAGAAGTTACTGATTAAAATTGCATTGAAAAGACTGCAGGAATTGAAAATCTACAGCATCAAATGGCAAACATGTGTTAACAATTTTGTTGTTAAAAAATCGGCTAAAAATAAGAGAAATTATTTAAAACCTGAAAGCAAAATAACAATTTTGTATACTTGTTTTAAGCTCTGAATAATTATATATAAAAAAGAAATAGGAAACCACACTGTCTTACACTTATTCCTAAGCATTAGGTTCAGATAATGTTTTCTGTTTTGAAAAAATGCCTACTGTGGATTCATTTATTTTCGTGGGTATCAATTTTCGTGGATTGAGGAAAAATTGTATTTTCGTGTATACTTGATTTCGTGGTTTTGTCAAGTCTGCATAAAAGCCTATAACAAATTTGTACTTCGCTGAACATTGAAATTCGTGGTTCCCATTTACCCACGAAATCCACGAAAATTGGTATCCAACGAAAAATAATGAATCCACAGTATATTCCTGAAGCAAAGAAATGTAACAGGAAATTAACAAGGTTTTCCCTATTGTACATCAATACAGGGCAAAATTGTTTCCTCTAGAAATATTTGAAGTCATCAACTGAAATTTTTTTTTTCATAATGTCATATAACATGTTTAGACAAAATTAGATAATTTTCACTAGAAATTTATTTTCCATTTTGCTTAATTTGTCATTAGGATAAAATCGTCAAAATATCCTGTCTAGGAAATTTGCTATTCAAGATGATAACAATCTGATTAGAATACAAGCTTTGCTTACAAGGTTCTGAAAACACTCCGTCCTACTTTCTGTTTAAAAGGCCTTTTGGGATCCTCTAGTTTTGTCCTAATTATACACACCTTCAAAAAATTGTAGGTAGGAATTTCATAGGTTGATTTTATAAACATCAGAACAGGAAGTAAAATGGAGTGTTTTCAGATCCCTCAGAGCAAAGCTTGAACACAGGATCTGACGGCGAGAAAAACGTGAAATAAAATCATCACAAACAGGTTTGGTCCTAAAAATCGGTAAGTTAAACTCCGTGAAAATAAAAATAAGGAATTGTATCATTTGGAAAAAGTTTCTTTGAGATCAATTGTTTAAAATTTTCAACATCGTAAATTTACTTACAGACAGTGGCAAATGTTTAATATATAGTTTGGCCATTTTATATCATTATTACATTTATTGCCAGTCTCCTTCCTTGGTTTAAAAGAAGATAGACAGCCTAGTGTTTAAAAAATTTCAAATATCAATCTACTGTAAATTCAGAAATAATTGTGAGGTTTTAATTAATGCAAATAATGCGACTGGGTGAGCACCGCAATAAGAAGAACCCGAATTCTGATATCTGATCCATATAACTTAATGCACATTTTCCTGAAATTGCAATAATTCATCTTGCATTTTTGTCCATTCTTCAAAAATCGCAATAATAAATGCACACAATAATTTCTGAATTTACAGTATTGACTTTTAGAAGGTAAATTTAAAACTTTCTCCTAGTCAAATATTGTATTAAAAAGTAATTTATTATAAAATACATTTATAAAATATTTCTTGTTCTCCTAAAAAGTTCAGGTAACCTCCAATAAGAATTCACCATTTCAGAACCAAAAGGGCCATGGGTAATTTCCTTGTTCAAACCCCCAAAATGAATATAACGTCACACCATTGGTTGAACTTTAATTGTTTGGCATGTTGTTAGCCAATCACAGCGTTTTGGTGTATGCTTTTGAAAATATTACCCAGTATGCATTAGATTCTGAAACAGCAATCTATCTATGTCACAGCCTTTCAGATATCTTTTTTTTTTCATTAATGAAAACAGACGATATGTTTGAAAATCCTTTACAGCTGAATTATTTTAGCGTGTACTACATCCAATAAATTAAGTGTGCTCGAGGAATTCTAGATTCTACATTAGCTATTGTAAATCTTCAAATAATCTGGTTAAACAGGATTCTTAATGATCCTTTTCCTATAAAGCTAGCTATAAACCCCGGTTTAACCCACCATTTTCTTCATAAGTTCGATATTTTTGTAAATACTTTTTTGTTCCATGATTTGATTGGCTTATAAAAACTAGCTATTGTTTCAATAGGACATGTAGTTAGTACACAAAGGGATAATATTGATTTTTTGGTCAACTTGCAAACTCAGAAAAAAATTTCTTTAGTATTTGTACACATTCAAGTATATTTGCTGCAGATATCTACAGGACTAGAAAATAATAATAGCATTGAATCTTTGCAATGCCTCATGAAAAAAATTAAAATAGATTTGGAAATAAGCAACAAGTGACAATTAAACTATAGTGTTGAACCTGTACAATGCCTCATGAAAAAAGTTAAGATAAGTTTGGAACCTAGCAAGAAATGAGGGTCCGGATGGTGTCCTTTATTTTTGTATTTTTAAATGTTTATGTTATTTTCTCTATTCTTTATATTTTAGCCCATTATTCTTTATTTATTATTTTTTGGCCCTTTTTTGTCTATGCTATATTTTCTTGGTCCTTTATTCTCCATTTTGTAAACCCCATCCAGACCATCAAATGTGGCCATTTAACTAATATAAATGTTGAACCTTTACAATGCCTCTTGAAATAAGTTACACTAGGTTTGGAAACTAGCAAGAAGTCAATATATGTAGCATGATGAAAACAAACACTGTGGATACTAATTTTCATGTACTGTGGATTCATTTATTTTCGTGGGTACCAATTTTCGTGGATTGAGGAAAATTGGCATTTTAGTGGATATTTGATTTCGTGGTTTTGCCGAAGACTGCATATAACCTTATAGAAAATTTGTAATTCGTGGAACACTTAATTTCATGGTTCACCTGTACCCACAAAATCCACAGAAATTGGTATCCAACGAATAATAATGAATCCACAGTATTGAGGTAAAATTATGTTTTCATGATATTTGATTTCGTGGTTTTGACAAAGCCTTCATACATGCTTATAGAACATGTATACTTTGTGGAACATTTAATTTTGTGGTTTTCTTATACACATGAAATCCACAAAAAATTGGTATCCCACGAATAATATTGAATCTACAGGAGACAAAAAAATTATTGGCTTGTTGATAATCTATTCCTCAAGAAACTCTACGTAGTACTGAGCTTCTTTCAGGTAATTCTTTATACTGGTAGGAATTGGCAAGGAGTCAATATGATCTCGACGAACAATTTGTAGAATCTTAAATCGGCAAGTGTGCTGCAACGACTGCATCTGTTTGAATCTTGATACTGGGTGGAGAAGATGAACTGGCATTGGAGGTGCTCCTGGCCCGGAGGGCCGTACAAAATAAAGAAACTGTCCATTTCTAGAATTCTGGACACATTGTTCTATGAATTGTTTAATGGTTGACTTCCCATGTGTGTCTGGTTGTGACCAAAAGCTGAATTTTCCTAAAACAAAAAGATATGTTACATGTTAATTCTACTTCTGATAGGACATCATACTTTTGTTTTGTGTTATATTTCATGTTTAAATAATAAAATAAAACCATGACCAACAGAAAATGATCAAGTCACAATAATTTTTGTGTACAAAAAATGTCATCTTCCTATACAAGACAAATTCTAGTGATTTTTATTTTCCAATTTAAATCAAAATAACTTATGGCATCCAGCGGTAACCCTTACAGATTTTAATAAAATGCTCCGCTGGGCGCAGCTTGATACGACCGCAGAGGTAGAACCCTGAACAGTTGGGGCAAGTATGGACACAACATTCAAGCTTGATACAGCTCTGAATTTGGATTGTGATTAAATATTTGACACAGCATAGGTTTCTGACCCAGAATGAATGTGGTCTAAGAACTTAAAAAATTTTTATTGACCTATTCAAACCATATCATTATTATTTGCTTTTATATATAAATCAGAAATAACCAATTTAAAATGAAAAATATTAAAGAAAAAAAAAGGAAAAAAAATCCCTCCTCCAAATTTTTTGAACCCCCTTATGATTCATTACCCCCAAACTCAATCCCAGCCTTCCCTTTGTGGTATGGTACCTTGCAGTACAATTTCAGAGAGATCCATACATGTACACTTGAACACAAGTTATTGTCTGGAAACTAGAAAAATGCTTGTTTTTTTACCCCTTTTTGGCCCCAAATTTCTAAACATTCAGGGCAATTACCCCTAAACTCAAACCAAGCTTTCCAATTGTGATATGGAACCTTGTAGTACATTTTCATAAAGATCCATACACTTACACACAAGTTATTGTCCTGAAACTAGAAAAATGCTTGTTTTTTGCCCCTTATTCCTAAAATTTTGAGGCAATTGCCCCCAAAATCAATCCCTGCCTTCCCTTTGTGGTATGGTACCTTGCAGTACAATTTCAGAGAGATCTATACACTTGAACACAAGTTATTGTCTGGAAACTAGAAAAATGCTTATTTTTGGCACCTTTTTGGCCCCTTATTCCTAAACATTTTGGGCAATTACCCCAAACTCAATTCCAGTTTTCCCTTTGTGATATGGAACCTTGTAGTACAATTTCAGAAAGATCCATGCACTTACACACAAGTTATTGTCATGAAACTAGAAAAATGCTTGTTTTTTGCCCCTTTTTAGGCTCCTAATTACTAAAATTTTAAGGCAATTACCCCCAAAATCAATCCCAGCATTCCCTTTGTGATATGGAACCTTGTGGTACAATGTCAGAGAGATCCATACACTAACACACAAGTTATTGTCTGGAAGTTACAAAAATGCTTATTTTTGGCCCCTTATTCCTTAACTGTTGGTACCATAACCCCCAAAAACAATCCCAACCTTCCTTTTGTGGTATTGAACCTTATGGTAAAATTTCATAGAGATCCATTCACTTTAACTAAAGTTATTGTGCCAAAACCAATGTGTCTTCGGACGACAACGACGACACCAACGTCATACCAATATACTACCACAAAAATTTTTTGCGGTCGTATAAAAACTCCTCGTTTTGCCATGCATAACTCTTCTTGAATAAAAGAAGAATGTGTCCATGGGACACAAATGCCCCCGCTTGTAAATATAATACAAATTCAGCAATTTTCCAATTTATAAAGGGACATAACTTGAGTGAAAGTGACGCTACCCAAATTCGAACTTGATCCGTGTTTGGTGGTAATAAGTTTCATTATGTTTGGTGGTAATAAGTTTCATTATGTTTGGTGGTAATAAGCATTGTATATAAGTTTCGTTATATTTGGTTGAGGCAAACTAAAGTTAGATTGCGGAAATGGCAAATTAAGTATTTTTTCCATTTATAAAGGGACATAACTCAAGAACATTGAGATTGACACCACCCATATTCGAATTTAATCTGTGTTTGGTTGATAAAAGCATTTTAACTCATCAGCGCAACTATAGATTATTTTAATAAAATAATATTTTAAAAAGAAATTCCCCAACATTTCAACCTACCTTTGTGATGTTCAATTCTCGTGTGGTGTACACGACCTTGCATGTTGAAGGACAAACTCAGGATATATCTGTCATCAGAGCTGTCGCGCACTAAGAAAGATCCATCGGGTTTGTCTATCAGCTTAATCTCAGCCTCTTCCCAGCTTAACGGACCCCAGTACCAGCCACACTGTAAAATTATAATTAGATAAAAATGGTTTTTTGTAGGGTTCTAGTTGCTCAGTCTTTAGTTTTCTGTGTCATTCATTTTGTAGACTATTGTTTGTCTTTTTACATGTTCCATTTTGGCCACTGTATTGTCTGTATGTCTTGGACTTATAAATTCTGATTGTCTCATGGTATCTTCTGTCTCATTTTTTAATACAATTTTATTTTTGCTTTTAAAACATTCTCAATTATTTTTTGTTTGGATGATGGTGTCTGTTGGTCATTTGTGTCACTTACATGTAAGATGTTTTTTCATTGTTTTTGTATACTCCATTAAATATTTTTTTTATTCATGATCATCTAAGAAGAACTTTCATAAATGAGCTGCGTCAGATTGAAATCGACCTACAAATGCAAGTGCACGAATACAGGTACATAAGTATCAGACTTTTTTTGATTTATTTTGGAACATTCAAATACAAAATAATAGATAAATTTTGGCCTGTTTTGAAGGGTTCTTATATCAACAATTTTCAAACAATTACAGATAATGCATAGAGATTTTTTCAACCCGAAATAAGATGTCTTGATATTCATTTGCATAAGGTCGATTTCAATCCGACACAGCTCAAATGTATTGTTTTAAGACTTACATCTTTCAACTGTTGCATACTTTCCATAAAATCTTGCCTGTATCCTGAAATAGACAACAATTGAGTGTCATTTTAATTTTACTGTAGATTTATTCAAAATACATTTTTACATGTATCATAAAGAGATAACAATAGGAGACTTTTGCATTTTTCAAGAACAATGCTTGATTGATTGATAATTGCTTTAGGCTGCATCAGAGCAAAAAGGCTGTATAGCAGCCAACAAGAACACTGAAGAGCACTTAGTAATTTTCTCTCTCTGTGCCCAGTGTCAGTGGACTAGTAGATATGTAAAAATCTAAATCATTGGTAGCATGCGGTAGACTGTACATATAGTGTATGTCTTCTTTTCCAATATTTTTTTTATTTTCTTTGCCATGGATTTGTCTGCCCTTATTCTATTTGGATTTTTTTGTGGTAGCTTTTTGATATCATGATTATATAATTCCATATTTCAGCAAAAGAATATGTACAGTTTATAATTGTAAAAACTATTATAACGATTTCTATATTTTCAATTTGCCATGACGTTAATACACCAAAATCATTAGTAAAATTATTTCTTTTTGTAATGCATACATGTAATATGAATAACTAACAAGTTCTTGTAGTTAAAGAGCTAACACTGATGGGGATATGACGGTTGCAAATATATGAGGGTCTGGATTGGGGGGGGGGGGGTCCATCATTTCTGTATTCTTTATTTTTTAGACCATTTTTTTCTATTCTCTTTATTTTTTCGGCTATTACTCTCTATTCCTTTTATTTTATAATTAGCACCCCAATATTCCATGTATTCTCTATTCTTTATTTTTTTGCCCTATTTTCACTATTCTGTTTTTTTTTTTGTAAACCCTTTAATAAATAATAATAAATAATAAAATTCTTTATTTAACGAAGGTAACACATTTAACAATTACATGTTAATCTTCCATGAGGCCTTCAAAAACTATTAATACAAATAGAAAAAAAAAAAAAAAAAAAAAAAAAACCAAAATACAAACAAAATAAAATACATAATACTGTTATACATAGCAGCTTAAATATTGAATAAGTACATATGCATTCAATAGAAGAAGAAAAAATACATTAGAATCAAGCATCTTCATTCTGTACAGTTTGAAAATAGTTTGAACATTTGATCTTAAATGTATCTAAATTATTTATTTCTTTAATATTATTTGGTAAATTATTCCAAGTAATAAGACCAGAATATTTAAATGTTCTTTTTAAAAATTCAGAATTAGGTCTTGGTACATGAAGAAGTCTTGACGTTGTCGACCTGAGACAATAATTATAAAGATCAGTACAAGCAGTAAATTTAATAGATAGATAATCAGGTGCTAGACCATTCGTACATTTAAACATTAACACAGCTTGAAAATATTGTATTCTTGTAAATATAGTCATCCATGCAAGCTTTTTAAACATTAATGTTGATGGAAAATCAAAAGAAACAGATAAATTATTCTCTATTCTGTAAACCCCATCCACACCCTCATATATTTTTTACAGTTATTCGTTACATACATCATTTGTACATGTATGTATGCATATGCATGATGCAAGATGGTTAGTATATGTATAAATGACTTGTCAATGCTTGTAAGATGTTCAGCTTGCACTGACTTACAATGTACTGTGGATTTTTATTATTCATGGGATATCAATTTCGGGAACACAGGTCAACCAGTAATTATAATAAATTTAAATGTTCAAAGAATTACAAAACTTTTAAAGACTTGTATATATATATGCATGATGTGTAGGATTTCGGAAAATGAAGAAAAATCAAGTATCCACGAAAATTCAAATATTTCTCAATCCAAGAAAATTGGCACCCATGAAAATAAATGAATCCTGATGATCAGTACTTAAAACATTTACCTAATTCTTTGTGTAATCTTGGAACAACTGCTGGTGGTCTACTATCAATGTCTACAGACCTTTGTCTCAATACTGGTGGGCCTGATGGACCAACAGAGTCAACATTACCATTCTGATCTCTTTCTGTCCCCTCTGTAGTGTTAGTAACATCAGAATCATTTTTTTGGTTATACAATTCAGCTATTGTCATGTGAATGGGTTCTGAATCGTCGTAATAAAAGTCAGGAAGTCTTTGGAGATTTGACATTTGATTTTGTGAACCCTGATCATGAACTTCTGAACTTGCCTCTGCACATGCTCCTTCGTTCACTCCATTTGAATCGCTATCCAAATCATCAGCAAAGGAACTCCGTCTACTCGCCAGGCTTTCTAAAATTGCATCAGCATCATCTTCATATGACATCACATGAATATCACTGAGAACCTCAGTCGAGCGAATACTAGAATTATCGTCACTTTCTGCGAATGAACTGACAGAATCTAGCGTAGAACTTTTCCTATGATGATTACCAAATGCCCTATATTCAAATCGTGAATCACTAAAATACTGTGTTTGTGAAGTTTCTGGAGTTGGAACAAAATTCTTTTTTGGATTACCTACATTCTCACATTTATCATAAAAATCACTTTCAAAATCTAAATTCACTTTTTGACGGACATCTGTGCTTACATGACCTGTTGCCCCTTCGATCATGCCTTCACTATGTAATGAAATGCTTTCATTCTTCAACAAACTGTCTTCACAACATAGGTCGCTCCTCACTGACGCATAGCTCTCAAACTCTACCGGTATTTCAAATTTTTCACGATTGGACACCGAATTTTGTCCTGATTGATTGTCTTTTGCATAATCAATCATTTTAGCACTATCTCCTGTATTATCCACATTATAGCTATAGGTGTTAAAAGAACTATTAACCTTTTCATTCACTACACTAGCACTATATTTCGACATTTTACCACAATCCGTATATGTATTTTCTAATCCCTCCGATATCCAGCCTAATCTAACTTCCCTTTCCTTTCTTTTAATCATCTCTACGTCCTTGACCTCTGCGTATCCCTCATCTTCCTCAGATATGTGTAAGATTTCTAATTCCTCCGGAATGCTCTCCCCTTCTGTTGATAATGGCGAATCAAGAACAATACATTTGACCGTATCACTTGAACTGATAGAAACGGACAGACTACCACATGTATCTGATATGCAAGATGTACTTTCATTTTCACATTTCGATGAGTCAGCATTTTCACTACTTTCACTTTCAGTAACTGAATCATACTCACTGAAGCCATTTGTATCAGATTTTAATTTTTTGTTTTCTTCATTAATGTTACTATGGCTACAATGACAATCTTCTCCTGCATTATCTGTTAATGATATAGCACTGTCTTCGATACAGTTTTTTATTTTATCAACGTTAACATGCTTAAAACCTTGATTTTGAATATCTTTGTTTTCTCTAGTTAATTCAATGTCATTCAAGTTACGATCAGCAGTATCTAATTTTGCCATTAAAACATTTTCAGGACTTTGAATTTCGTCACTGTAGCTCTTTAAAGAGTCTGGAGTTTTCAGATCATCATACATGCTATATTTCCTTGCAGGAAGAGGTGGTCCTTCCTCAGGAGACATTGTTTTGTTCGGAATATCCATGTTATTTTCAAAACTCTGTTTATCTGATATAGACAACGTCTGTGATGTCTCCTTTTTTTGAGATCTTTTACGAAATAAAATTTTTGGGTTTGCGTAGAGATCGCCTGTGCCACTATACTTACACAAACAAGTATCAGAATTACAAATTCCATGATTATCATGTGACATGCCTTCCTCATGCATATTCATGTTTTCATTTTTAATAGGACAACTTCCTATTCTAGTTAAATTTGGAGAATTTCCACAGATTGTATAGGGTCTCTGTGACCTTGACATTGACCCTGTCAGATTGATATCACTCACACAAGAAGATGCTTGAAGACTGTCTGGACTTACATCTATCCATGGACTTGCTATTCCGCTGTCTCTGTTTGGATCAAGTCCTATCAGATCATTTGACCGAAAACAATTGTCTGCGGTTCCAGATGACTGAGTTCTACGATGCTGACTGACCCTAAGATTACTTTCTCTTTCGAAATTCTCCTGAATAGAGTTATTTGTAGACCTAACAACCATACTTTCAGCCATTTGGTGGAGTTTCATTTTCCGACGAACTTCGTCTAGTGTTTCGTAGCCTGGATCAGGTTCTATAAATATCTCATCCTTTTCCATGATAGTGTTATCCAAATCGATAGCTTCGTCGTCTGCAACTAAAAAATCGTTTTCCACAGTGTTATCTTCCTCAAAGCTGCGGTTCATTGATTTATCAAATTCAAATATCCCATTTCCATTTCCATTTACCATCGAAACATCTGTCTTATTTCTCTTTTTCTTATTTCCCTGGTTCAAAACGGTGATAATAGGTTTCTGGGCAAGCCTTTCTGATTGAGTTCTTGCAATTTCATTTTGTTTATCCCGCTCCGATTTTGAAGAATATTCATCACTCCTACGCCTAAAAGAGACCCCTTGTACACTATCATCTTCTGGTATTCCAAACTCATATCCTTTACTCCGTAACCTAAACCTGCGCCTCAGTCTTCTGAACAGACCACCATTTGAGGCAGGTGATGCTTTCCCTGGGGAAACACCTGGTGGCAAGGTTTGAGATTTTTGCCTACGTTGCTCCATTTCTAAACCTTCAGGTCATTTTTTGCAATTTTACCCTTCATCAGAAAGACCTGTAAATAAACAAAAAGATGACATTACCATTACTACTACAATTTCCTTGGAAGTTTATATAAAGTGCTTGTGAGCACTGATGGTAAAGGTTGCTTTCAATTTGCAATTTTGTGAATTTAAAAACATTGAATTGTATTTACAAATGTAGCTAGGCAAATTATAAATTTGAGTTGGAGTTATCTTCCTTTGTTCATGATTATACATTTGTAGTTGAACTTATTTCTATCACAGATTTATCATGTTCATACAACACGCATTACTTAAATAAATTTTAACAAAGAAAATTCTTCTTGATAAGTATGGTAATTCAAATACACATTGTACTGTAACTTGAATATCTAAGTATAACATATCATCAATAAATTGCTTGATATTGACCTGGATAGGATCTAAAGAAAGATCACTTCACTGCACTATTTTGTTTGAACTATGAAAGGTAGTGATAAGCCTTGGAAGATTTAGATATCAATTCAGTACCATAGGGTTTGCAATCTTTACCCAAAAATCTTAAGTAAAAATCTAGATAATTTTGAAGCACTACAACTTTTTCTTGAAATCAAACACTAGTCCAAGAATTGAGTTCCCTGAATCAACAAATGTTTTTTAAAGATTTTTTTGTATACTGTATGTCAGTTATTCATTTTGCAATATTACCACAATAACTCTATTTGCCTGCACCAGGTCAGGTACAGTATATGACAGTTGTTTTTCATGCATTCATTTGATGTGTTTGAGCTTTTGATTTTGCCATTTGTTAAGCATGTTAAGGGACTTTGTATTTTGAATTTTCCTTGGAGTTCAGTATTTTTGTTATTTTACTTTCTATCTACATTAGACCTTATCAGTATTTCAGAATCTGCAACACTTGACCAGAGATTTTGCAACACTTGAATTATTTACATCAGACATTTTCTCTACTAATGACCTCAAAATTTTTACGGTAACATCTGTGATGGCCAGTTATGGCAGACAAATAGGGATAAGGTGTATAGAAATTATATGACATCACAATACACATTATAAGATGATAATGCTAAATAGATCATTACAGAATGCTTATAGAATAACTCGTCCAAGAATTCAAATATAAATGGTTCTCAAGATATAGAGCGGACACGATCTTTACCATAGGACATGGGGTTGTCAACTAAAACCAAAGTTTTTGACCTTGACCTTTGACCTAGGAAGTTGTACATACATCATGACACACCCTCTGGTGTTGGTTTATATACATGTCAAGTATAAACTTTGAAATCATAACGGTTCTCAAGATATAGAGCGGACACGATCTTTACCATAGGACATGGGGTTGTCAACTAAAAACAAAGTTTTTGACCTTGACCTTTGACCTAGGAAGTTGTACATACATTATGACACACCCTCTGGTGTTGGTTTATTTACATGTCAAGTATAAACTTTGAAATCATAACGGTTCTCAAGATATAGAGCAGACACAAACTTTACCATAGGACATGGGGTTGTCAACTAAAACCAAAGTTTTTGACCTTGACCTTTGACCTAGGAAGTTGTACATACATTATGACACACCCTCTGGTGTTGGTTTATATACATGTCAAGTATAAACTTTGAAATCATAACGGTTCTCTAGATTTAGAGTGGACACAATTTGTTACGGACGGACGGACAGACGGACAGACTGATCACTATAGGGCGTCCGCCATTCGGCAGGGCCCTAATTAAAATATGAATGTTTTTGTTCAATCATTAATGAAAGTGAAATAGTGAAATAATAATTCGCTTTTAGCAGCCAGTTTGGTTCAATTTTGTCAAAATAAGCTAAGAAACATCGCTGATGAATTATTCACTTGCAAGTGAATAATTCAACCTCATTGAATCCGTATTCATGTGACCTTAAATTTAACCCCTTAGCTAGAGATGGGTTACACATGAATTAGGCGTGTTTAGTTATTAAAAAGAAAAGAATGTCAACATTGAAAGTGAAACAAGGATAAACCATTTGATTGACTTATTTAATCCACAAACACTCATTCTTATACATGTACAGGTAAAAATGATGATTAACATATATTTTACCTAATGTATAATATGAAATCAAATAGACCTAGAAAAATCCAATTGCACTATTTCACGATCTATTTATATCTATATTTATGTTTAAATCGGTTATATGACCATCGGCAGTCTTCAGAGGTCACCTCGATGGTTAATTAGATGGTGTCTAGACTAAAATACACACGAAATGCTGATACATATTATCGAGCCCATGCATTGTAAATTGTTTATTTTGGGCTTTTTATAATTTAGATACACGTTTTATTATGTTATAAATCAAATATGAGAATTTCGAGTCAAATCGGTGAACATGAATTTGACAGCTTATGCCCCTTTAACCACAGACTGAACCTAAATGATGGCAACGCCGACACGATGACGGAATCTAAGATCGATGATCGCTATCTCTCTTTTTCGCATCATAAATCATTAAATGACAAAAAGTTTGAAATGGTTGACAAATTTTAAGTAAAATTAATTTATTTTTTCTGTTTCAGCCTTAAATATTTATTAATATGAAGTAGATAAACAATTTTTCTTACTTGATTTTCAAATTATATATGTTATATATATATATACATGATACATGTATATTAGTATTTACATATTAGCAAGCCAAGACACACATTATATTTACTTAAACAATTGAAATTTAAAAACTACACCTTTATAGGGCTGTTTAATGGCTAGCACTAATCTTTCCTTCTTCAAGTAAATAAACATGACTTGTATAAGTATTACCCCTGACTGTTTGTCATCATGGTCATGATCATAATGATGGTCATGTGTTTGCATAAAAACATAAATTATGATTTCTCAGTAATGAAATGGCATTAAAATACTTCATACATGTGTCATAACTACCATACAATACTGTACACAATTATAACAGTAACAATTTCAACAAAATCTCAATAAATTTTTGATGATTTAAAAAAAAATTACACTTGATGTATATATGAAATTCATAAAAATGTAGCAGAATTTCCGTACCGTATGGTGAAATACTTTTGACCTCCCTAAGCCTGCAGTGGAATCTAAAGCAGAAAACCCCTATGAAACAGAATCCCATACATGTATGTTTTAATCTATGTTTTTCTTTCATAATTTTCAACTACAGTCTACATGTACATGCCTCAGGTTAGTCCACATGGGAAATTTTAGCTTTTGGGTTTTTTCCAAGTGTTAGTGATAAAACTCGTGTGTGTGTGTGTAATCTAGGATTTTCATATAGTTATTACTTTACACATCCTTTGAGCAATTATAAATAGAAACAGACATATCACGTAAATAATTTACAGATGTGGAGAGTGGACGTGATGACTGATGTACATGTCTTGTGATCGATTTTCTAGGTAAGTGGTCGAATGAAGGATATCCGTTTGCAATTGTTTTTATTTTAGTGTATTCTCACCATTTGAAGTATATTCGAGACAACCAAATGCTGCCATAGTAATCATTTTAACAGAAAATACATTAAATTCCTTCAAACTCAACAGTTTGCTTTTGATTATCAAAAACAGGAAGTGCTAATTATATTGATCGGATGATTAAAAAAACTAGATTTACAAACAAAACGATTTTTCACGGGCCACCAGGTTTGACTCTTTACCCAAACATGCCCCAATTAGCAATATACAGCCATTATATTACGACGTCATCAATTGCCAATCTATAAAAGATTTAGTCAGTTTTATGATTAAGATGATCTTTACCTTGTATGAAGTCCATAAAACAAATTTATAGCGCCTAAAATTGTTATTAACTGTTAAAACAAATCATTCAATAAAGGCATGCAATTAATAAAAAAAAGTCAATAACTTTTAATACAATTAATTATATTTGTTGTTTTATAAAGCTTAAAATTCTAAAGCATCGTGCAAAGCACAGGGGCGGTTCCAGGATTTATTAAAGTGGCGGGGTTATATTTTTTGATAAGGTTATACTAAAAAAAACATATATATTGAGAAACATGACATTTGTTTTGTTTTTTGGCCATGTTGGAGATAAAAGGGGGCGTTCGTTCGTGTGTTTCGTTCGTTTTGTTCGTTCCGCTCGTTCCGTTCGTTATTTCCGTTCCTTCGCATCGTGTAAAGCACAGGGGGGATGCAGGATTTATTAAAGTGGTGCATCGTTTACATTTTTTGACAATGTTGTCATCGGCTACAAAAAATCATATAAATCGTGAGAATCAGACATATGTTTCAATTTGTTTGCCATGTTGGCGATAAAAGGGTTCGTTCGTTCGTTCGCGTACGTTCGTTCGTTCGTTCGTTCGTTCCGTTTCTTCGTTCGTTCGTTCGTTCGTCCGTCCGTTCGTTCGTTCGTTCGTTCGTCCGTCCGTCCGTCCGTTCGTTCGTTCTTCGTTCGTTCGTTCGTTCCGTTTCTTCGTTCGTTCGTTCGTTCGTTCGTTCGTTCGTTCGTTCGTTCGTTCGTTCGTTCGTTCGTTCGTTCGTTCGTTCGTTCGTTCGTTCGTTCGTTCGTTCGTTCGTTCGTTCGTTCGTTCGTTCGTTCATTGATGCACTGTCAGTAAAAGACTAGTCTCAGATCTGTACTTACGTGTCTTTTTGTTGTTGGGATGTACAAGTACCTTGTCACGTCCACTCTGTGTTTTTGTTAGATGTATTTCTATTTGTATCCATCTGATGAGCTAAGCCTTTTTCAACTGATTTTCAGTATAGTTTGTTCTTATGGTGTACTGTTACATCAATGTTCCAGGTTAGGGGGAGGGTTGGGCGCCCGCTAACATGTTTAACCCGCCACATTCTGTATCACGGTGACTGTACCAAGTCAGGAGCCTTTAATTCAGTGGTAGTCGTTTGTTGCTGTGTTACATATTTGTAACTAATAAAACTTTTCTGTAAATAATAGCCTACAGCTATGTTTTAATGTAAATACATGTTTTTAATGGTAAATGTTACTGAGAATAAGTTTAAATTATTATTAGAGAGATATTTGGTTGTTAAAATAGTACAAATGAAAAGTTTATAATGTTTTTAATTGTTTACTGCAAATCCCATGCATATCTGGCTGCACAATTCAAAAGCCATACAAAGGCTCAAGAGTTCACACCGTTCAAGGTGAAATAGCACGAAACTTCACAGTTCCTATCTTAGACTATAGTTTTAATAACCCATGATTTGTTATTGTATCTCATTTATTGACTGCATTGTTATACTTTATATTTTATTATGTAATATTGTTATTATATGACTTTTCAAATTGAAGGCAGTGAATAAAGACTATTCTCAGAAAACAGATTTGACTATTTTCAGGCCTGTCAAAAGACTCCAGTCAACAAGATAATTATCTTGCAACAGCTGAAAATCACAAAGTCAAAACCACCCTGCATCTGCCTGTCACGCTTGCTCATTGCTCTACCACAAACCTACAACCTACACCCAAAACATAAGTTTGACAGCAGGGTCAACATGTGATTGCCTTTAGTCAGGAATCTGTAGTTCAGTGGTTGCCGTTGGTCAGGAATCTGTAGTTAATCTGCTGATCATTAAAACACAAATTAAGGCAATATTCTGATCTTGATCAGAGCCGGGTCTCTATATTCTTTAGTTTTATGCTATTTTTTATGCTTTATTTTAAATTCATTATATTCTCTATTCTATATATTTCAGTACCCAATATTTCTCTATTCTTAATGATTATGTTGGCCATTTTTCTCTATTCTTTATATTTTGACCATTTTTCTTCGGGGGCATTTTTTTCTATGGCTGTAAACCTCATCCAGACCAATGCCTATGGTACATGGATCTTGCAACTTGAGGACTCGTGTGTCATTTGTTCCATGCAGATTTCAAATAAAATGACGAAATTTTGATGTACAGATCCCATTTATTCGTTATAATGTTTGTTTAATATAGAATATATATAATTTTGAAACATTTAATCGTTTTTAAACTTCACATTATAAGGGGAAATGATCCATTTGATTCCAAGATTTTATTTCTATCATGATTTCCTTGATAGAGGGTTGCTACGTACAAGGAAGCTATCAAACCAAGAGTTCCAAATGGTGAGATTGAATTATTTCCCAGTCGAAAATTTTAAGGACGCCAGAACGAGTTGGTTGACCCTTATGGAATATCTGTTTTGCAGATGACGACGGATATATGTAACCACAATCATGTCCTCTTTTTCTCGAATGTGACATACCGAATAAGACTTATCCCCGGGTTTGTACTTACATGAGCAACACGACGGGTGCCACATATGAAGCAGGTTATGCTTACACGTCCGGTGCACCTGAGATCTCCCCCAGATTTTGATGGAGTTCATGTCTTGTATGCTATTGTTTGTCTTTTAGTGGTTTTTCTTTTCGTTTTTGCCATGACGATGTCAGTTTGTTTTCGACTAATGAGTTTGAATTTCCATTTGGTATCTTTCGGCTCTCTTTTATAATTAAAGCAATATGGGATTCTTTATTCATTTGGGATAACAAATAACACCAAATGATGTTCCATGCATTCGAATAAAATGACGAAATTTTGATGTTGAAATCCCATTTATTCGTTATACGTTTGTTTAATATAGAATATATATAATTTTGAAACATTTAATCGTTTTTAAACTTCACATTATAAGGGGAAATGATTCAGATAATTTAATGTTATTAAGCAATTTACAAGAAAACGGTACGCTGACCAAAATTTTCCTTTTTATTTTCTCTTTTATAAGACTTATCCTCTCAAACATTTGTTTTTTTCAAAATGATATCAGTTTAGTTTCTTCCTATGGCTATGATTTTCACATCGTGCATGATAATGCGTTTAATATGTACACTCCTTATAACTGCGTAAATTCCTAGACAACTTGTAGCCTAAAAACAAGCTCGATGACCTATACATTTTCATGATTGTGTTATATTAAAATTTTGTCTTTGGCAATTCATAATTTTACTATAACAACTCTTGTTATAGTAAAATTGTGAATTGCCAAAGACAACTCTTGTTATAGTAAAATTATGAATTGCCAAAGACAAAATTTAAATATAAAAGTTGTATTGCTGAAAATTGCCGAGTGACAACTGGCGAAGTCTGAACATGCTGTCGTGAACTAAAAATTTAAAATCATCTGGTGTCATTCGGGCTTATGTATATATACGCCTACTACCCGAAATTAAGTATAACTCTAGTTTATATAATTTTCTTTACTATTTTAAGTTTTCAATGCTTTTCATTTTCTTTATTCAATGGCATTCCAACCGATTTGATTCGAGCGCCACGTTTCGATGAGTTTTGTGTACACGAAACGTGCATTTGATATTTTAATAAGTATGCATGTACGTGTATATCACTGAGAAGTCAATTTCTGATTATATTTATAAATCTAGTAACTTTTACACCATTTCAGTATTTGAAAGAAAACTTATCATTCGCTTTTGATGAAATTGAAATAAAAATATTCCGACATGAAACCTGCTTAAATTAATACCGCCCTATACGTTATAATAGCCTCTTCCATTCAAATTTCATCTAAATTCGTTTCTTTTATTTTCTTCCGTAATATGTAATAACCGCATTTGTAGGGAACCTCGTGGTTTGAAGCAGTGTTGTTGATATCTCCAAAATGTTGGTTTTATTTGAAACTGCAGCTGGATATGCAGTTTTTAAGGTAAATTTCTCAAAAGAGTCGTATTGATATTGCGTTGCTCACAATCTGCAAATCAATTTACTCTCTATTTGACTCCAGCGAAACATGCAAATATCACCACGTGGTCTGGTCTTCCAAAGCAAATTTTTATGAGATCCATTCATACACTACAAGTGCTTCTGCCTTTAATGTAAAACAAATCTTCTAGTGGGTTTAAAAGGTGAAAAGAATGTTTATCTTTACAAAATTAAATTAATTGAAAGTTTGTCTTAATTATTTGACAACAAATGCTGGACATCAACACATGGTCAAATTATGATCTAATCATAGCCCACCATATTCTATTGAGGAAAATGACTGTACCAAGTAAGGAATATGGCAGCTATTTACATTCGTTCCCTTGGTTAATATAGTGGAAAGTTTGACTTTGTCAGGTTTTTTTTTAATTCACCTGTTCACCTTATATATAATTAGAGTTCAATAGTTTTGTTATTTTTTAAATGTGAAATAGAAATTTAACAATTTTTAAAGATGTTGTATTGTTATATGTATAACCGACTTTAAATAAATCTTTTATGCTTTTATGCTTTATACCTACTGATTAAGACTTATCACCAGGTTTGTACTTGCATAAGCTACACGGAACACGTGGAACAGTATCTGCTTACCCTTCTGGAGCACCTGTAGCTGTGATCACCTCCAGTGTTTTGTGGGGTTGGACTGCTGCTCAGTCTAGTTTTCTTTGTATGTTGTGAACTTTTTGCCATGGCGTTGTCAGTTAATTTTTGACGAAAGAGTTTGAATGTTCTTTTGGTATGATTTGCCTCTCTTTCAGTACAGAAAAAGTTCTTGAACTGGACATGTTTTAAACATTTAGCAGCACCTACATACATAAAAATTTAATACATTTTGTGTTAGAGATTTAATAGAACAAATGAGATTCAAAGATTACTTCATTTTTAGCTGACATTGCCTACACTGTAGGGCCACGTGAGCATTTTTCATCATTTAGGGTCTGTCCACATCTGTTCTTTTACAAAAATCTTTTTCTCTGAAAAAAACTATGCCAAACACTTGTCTACTACCAGCATTCAGGCATTTAGTTTTAAAAATGTGTCAGATGACCCTGCCTGCTAACCAACATCACCGACATAGCAAAAAATAGAACAGTGGTAAAATGAAAGTTTTGCCTATTAACTTGAAAACTAATATAGAAAGAACTTCTGGCAGTGACATAAGTTGAAGGTTGGCTCCAACTCCTGCATGTTTGGAGATTTACAGTACACATGTTAGAAAACATGATTTGTATTACTGCATACATGTATGAACCCACCAAATTATACAGATAACTTGTGTTGATATTTTTTATCGTTACTATAATTTCAGCTTCAAGATGAGAAAAAGCTGAGAGAAACAGAAAACTTGTTCAAAGAATTTGAGACTCCAGAAAAAGCCACAAAGCTGTAAGAAATACATAATTATGATATTAAAAGAGAGTGAAAGGACATGTTTCACCACACAATGAAAATCAAATCAAGTTAGCAAATGCAGTTTTTCTCTATGTACAGAGAAATTTGTTCTTAAACCACTGACAGAAATCTCTTGATAAAAAAAAACTGAGTTTGACATTATATCTTGAAGTATGTTGTGATATGATCTATTTTAAACTTTAGAAAAAGAAATTATCAGACAATTAATTGAAAAATCAATTAAATCCAAGCTAATATTATTTCTAGTTGACTTGAAATTTTCCACAGCTCTAATTCTCATTTAGTTCAATTTGAGATAATCTTATTTTTCGTTCATTTTGAGACAAAATTGTCTTTTTTTACCTTGTTATTGTCATGACTAACGGGGAAAAGAAAAATGTATTTTGAAGGGAATACATAGGAGGGGAGATAATCTGAATATTAGTATTAAGTCCAGAATAGGATGTAAATTTTATTTTAATTTCAGATTAAAGCTGAAACATTTCAAGAAATTTAATGACACGACAGAAGCATTGGCAGGTTAGTATGATACATGTAGCTAACTGTTTACCTAGAAATAATACATTCTGTTATAAACATTTACCAATATAGACAACTTTTACCAAAATTCCCTGTATTGCAATTTACAGTAATGAAACTATGACATGTATGATAAACAATTGAAGTACAAGCAAACATTCATTTTGTAAGAGAAAATAACAGAAAATGTGATAAAAATTTACAGTTGAATTACAGTTGATTTAAAAAAGCAGACCAATGTAAAACAAGACACAATTATAAGAATTCACATGACCTAGTCAAACAATGTTTACCCCTTAGAGATTTAACCGCTGATTAGCTAAGTCTTCTGAGTTTTTCAAGACATTATGGGTTTTGCTCATTGTTGAAGGCCATAAAGTGACCTATATAGTTGTTAATTTCTGTGTCATTTGGTCCCTTGTGGAGAATTGTCTCATTGGCAATCATACCACATCTTCTTATTTTTATATTATGTCAAGTCAAGGAGGAGCATTTATATCACCGGACAGAATAAACATTTAACTAGACCTAAATAAATCTCCATTTTTAACCCTTCTACAATAAGTAACATCAGTATTTCCATACCAGAGGATGTGATTTTTTTCTTCTTAAACAAAATGACAGAAATCTTGCATATTAAACCTTCCTCTTCTGGAAATTGTCGAAATAGATACTCATATTTTTTAGCCCAATCAAATTTCACTGGATTGTTTGACTTCATATGAAAAATGATATGTCCTACATGAATTTGTCCAGACTTTTGACAGTGTTAGAAGACATGAATTTGTCCAGACTTTTGACAGTGTTAGAAGACATGAATTTGTCCAGACTTTTGACAGTGTTAGGAGACATGAATTTGTCCAGACTTTTGACAGTGTTAGAAGACATAAATTTGTCCAGACTTTTGACAGTGTTAGAAGACACGAATTTGTCTAGACCTTTGACAGTGTTAGAAGACATGAATTTGTCCAGACTTTTCACAATGTTAGACAATGTTAGAAGACATGAATTTGTCCAGATTTTTGACAGTGTTAGAAGACATGAATTTGTCCAGATTTTTGACAGTGTTAGAAGACATGAATTTGTCCAGACTTTTGACAGTGTTAGAAGACATGAATTTGTCCAGACTTTTGACAGTGTTAGAAGACATGAATTTGTCCAGACTTTTGACAGTGTTAGAAGACATGAATTTGTCCAGACTTTTGACAGTGTTAGAAGACATGAATTTGTCCAGATTTTTGACAGTGTTAGAAGACATGAATTTGTCCAGACTTTTGACAGTGTTAGAAGAACCTTCAGAAATACTATTAAGCTCTGTAGGCAATTTGGTTATCACGAGACAACTGAGGCATTTCTGATAAGACAATTAAAAGGTCTAACCTTTGTGGACAATCTAAAATAAGACTGTTTCTCATAAGGAACTGTAAGGGGAGGCAATGATAGATAAGCAGTTAACAGAGTCGTCAGAATCTTTTTTCCCCTGGTAATCCTCGCTTTCATTTCTATTGCAAAATACCAGAATTGTGTTTGTTCTTTGCACAAATTTTGGTGGTTAGGATCTTCAGACCATCACTTTTCGAGAACTATGCAAACATGTCTAAACAGCGCAGGGTGACCATCAATTGATAATATTATAATTTCAGCTGCCACTGCCCTTGTGGAAGGGAAAATGAGCAAGGCTTTGAAAAAACTTATGAAGAAATTAGTGGACAAAGAATGTCAGGAAGAGCTGGCTGTAGCTGATGCTAAATTAGGGAGTGCTATAAAGGTATTGAAATCTGTCAAAGTATGATATAAAAATAAGAAGATGTGGTATGATTGCCAATGAAACAACTCTCCACCAGGACCAAATGACACAGAAATAAACAACCATAGGTCACCGAACGGCCTTCAACAATGAGTAAAACCAATACTGCATAGTCAGCTATAATAGGCCCTGATATGACGAATGTAAAACTATTCAAATGAGAAAACTTACAGCCTGATTTATGAACAAAAAATGAACGAAAAACAAACATGATATACAGCAACAAAGGACAACCACTGAATTGTAGGCTCCTGTATGTATAATGCATGTTCACAGTTTATATCCAAAGTATATGAATTCTCCACATGGTACAAATATATCAAGTGAAAGTGGATGGCTTTATAAACAAAATTCAGGATAACCATGATACAGAATAAATGATGATTTAAGTCAGAATCGTCCTGATTTATAGTGACGACAACTATCAAAACTGATATTCTGTATATTTGTATATCCAAACTTCAACTTTGCACCTTATGGGGGAGGAGGGGGGGGGGGGGGCTATGCATGTAAGTTGATTGATTGTTATTCATAAGATGTCAATGTATGAATATTTCTAGCTGTAAATCAACAAGCAATTCTTTTCACGAAAAATATTATCACCAAGTACTTGTTAGTCATGAACATTTCAGTATAATTTACTATCAATTAGACTCGTAAATTTTTTTAGAACATTTCAGGTATACTAATTTAAATTTTTTTGAAAAAGTGGCTGAATATTTTGTATTCCAATACCATACTTTATGACAGATCTGAAATCATGCGTTGAAGATAATCAAGAAGTGTAAATATCAATTTTGGTAATATGTTATGTCATTTGAATTCTACTGTAATATGTAATGATGATATTGCAGGAAAAATTTAACATAAGCTGCGTGTACAACTCTAATGTCCACGAACTAATGCGAGGAATCAGGTCACAGATGAACAACTTAATCACAGGCCTACCTGAGAAAGAGATGTCCGCCATGGCCTTGGGTTTAGCTCACAGGTATAATCATTTTATGATAAATTAGGGTTGATGGTGTTTGTTTCTGTTTTTTGTTACTTATGATATTGGCAGACTGTAGCCATCTATCATGTCTATATGACTGTCTGGTTGGAACCCATTATTTAAAGGTCGAGAATGAATATACAGAATAAATGATGATTTAAGTCAGAATCGTTCTGTATTATAATGAAGACAATTATTGCAACTGATATTCTGTATATTTTTATATCTGAACCTATGCTTTGCTACGTTAGGGGTATGTATTTATGATCGTTGATTTGTACTCTTAATATGTCGACTGTTAAGATTTAGTCCAGAACCTCCAAATTTTTTGTTTCAAGTATTTGATTTGTGTCATGATTTTAAGGTGGTACATAACACTACAGGGAGATAACTCTGTAAAAATCAGCTGAACGTTTTAATCACGTTCTATTGTAAAGGAAATATTAAGCTTCTCAATGATTAAAATTAGTGTTTGTCAAACTGCTATAGATCCAATGAAATTTTTCCGAGAAAGTGTGTGGTTCAAGTTTTTTGAAATTTTTATATTTTTGTCAAAGGGTCAAAGTAAATATTTTGTCAAAATTTTATTAAAATTGAACGAGCCAAATTAATTTTAGTCAAGGTGTTTGGTACCACCTTAAAGCAACGCACATTACATAAGCTCAAGATAATTTCTGGGGATGGTCAAATCTTTCCCTTCAGAATAAAATTTCCCAGATTTATTTTCAACTTCTTATATATGTGCCTTAGATCCCTATTTGTGCCTTCAACCTCTATTTGTGTTTGTTGTTAGAATGTAATGTGAACAGTGTACAACTCTATAATGTCCACAGGTATAAACAATTTATATAAAATTTAGGGGGTAGTCAGTGTTTGTTTCTGTTTTTTTGTTACTTGTGATATTGGCAACTGTAGACATGCCATAACTCTGGTTTGAACCCATTATTTTAAAGTTGGGAATATAGATACAGAATCATTCTGCATTAAAGTGAAGACAACAATTGCATCCGATATTCTGTATATTTCTATATATCTGAACCTCAGCTTTGCAGATTTGTGGATATGCAATTAAGATGGTGCATTTTTATTAATATGATTTCAACTCTTTAGTCATTGACTAGAACCTCCAAAATATTGTCTCAATTAATTCCTGTCAAGAATCCGATCACAGATGCATAAATTTAAACTCAGCTTTAGCTACGATGAGATGTCAGCCATGGCATTGGGTTAAGCTCACAATTATGAAAAATTTATATGAAATTTATGATGGACTTTGTTCGTTTCAGTTGTTTTTATTAGCTCACCTGACCTGAAAGGTCAAGTGAGCTTTTCTCATCACTTTGCGTCCGTCGTCCGTAAACTTTTACAAAAATCTTCTCCTCTGAAACTACTGGGCCAAATGCACCCAAACTTAAACACAATCATCATTCAAGTATCTAGTTTAAAAAATGTGTCTGGTGACCCGGCCAACTAACCAAGATGGCCGCCATGGCTAAAAATAGAACATAGGGGTAAAATATAGATTTTGGCTTATATCTCTGAAACCAAAGCATTTAGAGCACATCTGACATGGGGTAAAATTGTTTATCAGGTCAAGATCTATCTGCCCTGAAATTTTCAGATGAATCGGACAACCCGTTGTTGGGTTGCTGCCCCTGAATTGGTAATTTTAAGGAAATTTTGCCGTTTTTGGTTATTGTCTTGAATATTATTATAGATAGAGATAAACTGTAAACAGCAATAATGTTCAGCAAAGTAAGATCTACAAATAAGTCAACTTGACCAAAATGGTCAGTTGACCCCTTAAGGAGTTATTGCCCTTTATAGTCAATTTTTAACCATTTTTCGTAAATTTTTGTAATCTTTTACAAAAATCTTCTCTGAAACTACTAAGACAAATTTAACCAAATTGTCCACAATCATCATTAGGGTATCTTGTTTAAAAAATGTGTCTGATGACCCCGCCCGCATACCAAGATGGCCGACATGGCTAAAAAATAGTACATAGGGTAAAAAGCAGTTTTTGGCTAATATCTCTAAAACCACAGCATTGAGAGCAAATCTGACAGGATAAAATTGTTCATTAGGTCAAGATCTATCTGCCCTGAAATTTTCAGACCAATCAGGCAACACGTTGTTGGGTTGCTGCCCTTGAATTGGTAATTTTAAGAAAATTTTGCAGCTTTTGGTTATTATCTTGAATATTATTATAGATAGAGATAAACTGTAAACAACAATAATGTACAGCAAAGTAAGATCTACAAATAAGTCAACATGACCAAAATTGTCAATTGACCCCTTAAGGAGTTATTGCCCTTTATAGTCAATTTTTTACAATTTTCATAAATTTTGTAAATTTTTGTAAATTTTTGCAAAATATTTTCCACTGTAACTACTGGGCCAACTTCATTATAGATAGAGATAATAGTAAGGAGCAAGAATGTTCAGTAAAGTAAGATCTACAAACACATCACCATCACCAAAACACAATTTTGTCATGAATCCATCTGTGTCCTTTGTTTAATATGCACAAAGACCAAGGTGAGCGACACAGGCTCTTTAGAGCCTCTAGTTTGTGATATAGCTAGACTGCCCCTTACTCTCGTTTGAACCCATTATTTAAAGGTTGGGAATAAAGATACATACATCGCTATGACTCAGGTTTAACCCATTATTTTAAGGTTGGGAATAAATACAGAATAAATGATGATTTAAGTCAGAATCGTTCTGCATTATAGTGAAGAAAACTATTGCACCTGATATTCTGTCTATTCCTATATCTTTTGGAAAGCTTTTGAAGTATGAAGACGATTGACTGTTATTCCTGAGATGTCAACTCTTGAGACTGGCTAGAACCTACAAATTTCTTGTATCAAATATTTGAGAACTTGAATGATTTTAAGGCAAAACACATAAGCTCATGGTTATTATGGAGGAAAATGTTAGCCTCTATATATGGACTTGTTAGCCTCTATATAGGCTTTTTAGCCTCTGTATGGGCTTTTAAACCTCTTTTTGAGCTTTTTAGCCTCTATATGGGCTACTTAAGCCTCTATATGGGCTTGTTAGACTCTATATGTGGACTTGTTATTAGAAAGCAGAATGGTGACTATAAACAAATAATTTTATGTTCAGTATTTTTAAATAACTTTTTCTGTTTTCAGTCTGTCACGGTACAAATTGAAGTTTAGTCCAGATAAAGTGGACACGATGATTGTACAAGCCATTTGTAAGTAACAGTTCTGAATAATCAATTATGAAATGTATATACTGATTGTTGTTTGGAAATACCCTTTCTTGAAGGTGCTTGGACTTTGAGCGTATTAGTAATTTAGTAATGCACCTTGTTTGGTACTTGAATGGTCATTTTTACTACTATATTTTAGTCTCCCCTCCTTACTTAGAAGTTGCAAATGTCTGTCATATAGCATGTCTGTGTGTTTATAAAAATAGGTAGGTGTTGTATTATTGCAAATGAGACAACTGTCCACCAAATGACCAGAGGTATTCTGGCCTTAATATGGCCTTTAACTATGGACTATAACCGTACCATTATGATTGATAAGCTATGAAAGACCCTATGATAGAAAAATATGAAATAAGTAAAACGAGGGAAGCTACCACCTGATTTATAATAAAAAAAAATACAGGAAAAATATTGGCCGACAGCAACCACAAAATTTATTTTACAATTTATCCCTGTAAAGAGGTTTAATTTTGTTACTAAATTCTGTGACTGTCTGGTTGAAAACCCATTATTTTAAGGTTGGAAATGAATATACAGAATAAATGATGATTTAAGTCAGAATCGTTCTGCAATATAGTGAAGACAACTATTACAACTGATATTCTATATATTGAAATTCAGATTTTATATTTTTGGGGTGTTATGTATGAGGTCTTTATTGCAGTGCCATTTTTTAAGTTTATCTGTTTACATTTCAGCATTACTAGATGATCTTGATAAAGAGTTAAATAACTATGTAATGAGATGTCGGGAATGGTATGGATGGCATTTCCCAGAACTGGGAAAAATTGTAACAGACAATCTAGCATATGCTAAAATTGTCAAGAAAATGGGTGAGTTAGGGTTGACTTGATAAGTAGCATATGTGCTAAATTGTGAAGAAAATATGTGAGTTATGTTTGAATTATATGTAGCATATGCTAAATTTGTGATGGCAATAGCTGAGTTATGGTTGAACTGTTTTGTAGCATATATGCTAAAATTCTGAAGAAAATGGGTGTGTCATGGTTGACTTTGTGATTGTGGCAAATGATTTGATGAAGCCTTGCATTCCTTAGATAAAGCACATGCTGGTTAATTCATTTCGTAATCATTTGGTGGCATCTTTTTATTCACAATGAAATACCATTTGATTTATTACTGAAGCAACTATCCAACAGAGTCAAAACAATGTGGATGTAAGGAACTATAGGTCATCACACCGCCTTCAATGTCTGACATTTCGTGGTGAATTATCAGTAAAATCTGCAAAACTTATACTAAATTTAATTTTCTACATATTCTATACTTCATTAGAAATCTTAATATCAAAAGAACAACTCCTGAATGACTTGGGTGGGTGAACCTACTTTTTGTAATTATACCCCCTCTTTAAAAAAGTGGGGGTATACTGTTTTACCTCTGTCCATCCATCCGTCCATCCATCCGTCAGTCCGTCCATCCATCCCATGAAAATTTTTCGTCACATCTTTCTCAGGAACTACAATACAAGGATTTCTGAAATTTGGTTTCAGGGTTTATATAAGTCAGCTATACCGTGTGATGCGTTTTCAGATTGATCACTCAACAACTTCCTGTTTACCGAACACTTGCATCATTTTACACAACACATCCAAGTTGAAAATTTTTGTCACATTTTTCTCATGAACTACATTGCAAGGATTTCTGAAATTTGGTTTCAGGGTTTATATAAGTCAGCTATACCGTGTGATGCGTTTTCAGATTCATCACTCAACAACTTCCTGTTTACCGTCAAGTATTTGGGCTGGGGGTATCATCAGTAGCTCACAGTTTCACTTGTTTCTAATGTTTGTTGTTGATTTGTTCTCATTCTGAATATGGGTGAAATATTTGCCATGGACACTAAGTAAGGAGGGTGGTAAAGGGTTGTTTTCGTGCAACGTGTTTTGCCATTTTTATTCCACGTGCAGCCGTGAAAAAGGTTCATTATTCATCGTGTTTCGTGAAGTCGGTAAAAAGATCAACGTGCAAGAAATTTTTAATTGTTCGTTCATCGTGAAATGGCAATTTTATTTCGCGTTCTTCCGTGCAGATACCCCCTTTATACGCCCCTCAGTAAGCAACATACACATGTATAATCAATTAAGGGCTTTTCCAAAATTAATTGAATAGGTCGGAAGGCACTTTTATTAAAATTTTATGTTTTGTGGTTATTTTAGACAGATAGCCTTAAAAATTATATAAAACAAACAATCAATATTATGTATTGCAGGGTTAAATAAAAAGTGCCTACCAACCTACCTATACATTTATTTCTGGAATATCAAGTCATAAGAAAGAAAGACCAATATAAATATTTTAAAGTTTAAATGATTAAATGGTTTTGTTTTTGTTTATTTTACAGGGTACAGAACAAATGCTGCTACCACAGACTTCTCAGACACACTTCCTGAAGAACTGGAACAAGAACTCAAACAAGCCGCTGAAATCTCCATGGGAACAGAAATCTCTGAAGAAGATATTATTAATGTCACATATTTATGTGAACAGGTAAAGTTCAATGCATTCCTTACAACTAAGGACTTAATGTGCGAGTTAGGGACGGTCAAACTTACATTAAAATATTATTATGAGGTTTTTAATATTGCGACTGGGTGAGTATCACAATGCTAAGAACTCGCAAACTGATATCTGATACATACATGCATATTTTCCTGAAATTCCAATAATTAATCTTGCATTTTTGTTCATTCATCAAAAAAGCAATAATAAATGCATGCAATAATTTTTAAATTTACAGTAATCAATAGTTATCTCCCTTTGTTCACAGTAGATCTTTGTTGGAATGGTTATATAACTATCAATGATGGAAAACCTTGGCGACTGATTACAATGATGTCAATCTACCTATTTCGTCACTACCTCTGAGATAGCTATAGCCATAGGGGGTAGGGATCATAACTTACTGACTTTAAATCAAGTGGCTCATATTTAACCTTAGGGGGTAGGGACGTGGCTTCCAAAATGGTTGTATTTTCTGGACACAACCTGTAAATTTTATTTTTGACCAGCACCGCATAATCCACTTAATCCTAATTCAGAAAAAAAGTTCAAACTTTTCTGGTCATGAAACCTTACCACATTTGAGATCAAAATAAACAAGCTTCACCCAATGACGAATGAAAACGTCTGTTAACAAATCGCCGTTTTTTACCTGAATTTAATAGTTTAAAACTCAATGGGAATTTTTATACGACCGCCAAAAAAATTTTGTGGTCGTATATTGGTATGACGTTGGCGTCGTCGTAGTCCGAAGACACATTAGTTTTCGCACTCTAACTTTAGTTTAAGTGAATGGATCTCTATGAAATTTTACCATAAGGTTCAATACCACAAAAGGAAGGTGGGGATTGATTTTGGGGGTTATGGTACCAACAGTTAAGGAATTAGGGGCCAAAAATAAGCATTTTTGTAACTTCCAGACATAACTTGTGTGTAAGTGTATGGATCTCTCTGACATTGTACCACATGGTTCCATATCACAAAGGGAATGCTGGGATTGATTTTGGGGGTAATTGCCTCCAAATTTTAGGAATAAGGGGCCAAAAAGGGGCAAAAAACAAGCATTTTTCTAGTTTCATGACAATAACTTGTGTGTAAGTGTATGGATCTCTCTGACATTGTATCACAAGGTTCCATATCACAAAGGGAATCCTGGTATTGATTTTGGGGGTAATTGCCTCCTCATTTTAGGAATTCAGGGCCAAAAAGGGGCAAAAAACAAGCATTTTTCTAGTTTCATGACAATAACTAGTGTGTAAGTGTATGGATCTTTATGAAATTGTACAACAAGGTTCCATATCACAAAGGGAAAGCTGGGTTTGAGTTTGGGGGTAATTGCCCAAAAAGTTGAGGAACAGTCAGGGATATAACTCTATAGGGTTATTACAGAAAAATAACATACATTTGTTATTGTGGACTAAAAATCAAAGAACTGTGATAACATATGTATGTTACATGTTTCAAAGGGACAATATACATCACTAGTTTAGTTAAAATGCATACAAGTTCTATTGGTATTACTATTGTCTTTATGTATACTTAACTAAAGAAAGATATAACAGTTCGTAGTTCGCCAATTTTGCATAGTACACCTATATGTTATTACAGAAAAAATATGCCTGTAATAACTAAAGGGTGTTATCACAGCTTCTCTATATCACTCCAAAGCATTTTCTCAGACATACATCATGCTTAATTACAATGTATTTTAATTTATTGTAAGAAATAATGACCAGAGCATGTAATGAGGTTCTGCGCAAGCTTCCCAGTAATTCCCAAGTGTCTCATATTATAGGTTACATTCCTTTAATAACTAAGCTATGTTATTACAGCTAATTTTATCCCTTAAAAGCCTCGTCTCATTGATTTACCATGGTTAATCAATAATGTATTAATATAATTAAAGAATTAATTATCAAGGCTATGCATTTAGTTTCTGCGCAAAGTCTCAAGAGTTCCCTAGAGCCCATAATAAATTAAAATATTTTTGATTTATTTTACAAATAACAAACATATGTTATTGCAGATTTAGAAAATTTAAGGAATAAAGAGTAGACAACTCATGAAAGTATCTGTAATAACACACACAAGTTATTTTCTGTAATAACCCTATAGAGTTATATCTCTGACTGAGGAATAAGGGGCCAAAAATAAGCATTTTTCTAGTTTCCAGACAATAACTTGTGTTCAAGTGTATGGATCTCTCTGAAATTGTACTGCAAGGTACCATACCACAAAGGGAAGGCTGGGATTGATTTTGGGGGTAATTCCCTCAAAATTTTAGGAATTAGGGGCCAGAAAAGGGCAAAAAACAAACATTTTTCTAGTTTCAGGACAATAACTTGTGTGTAAGTGTATGGATCTTTATGAAATTGTACTGCAAGGTTCCATATCACAAAGGGAAAGCTGGAATTGAGTTTGGGGGTAATTGCCCTAAACATTTAGGAATTTGGGGCCAAAAAACAAGCATTTTTCTAGTTTCCAGACAATAACTTGTGTTCAAGTGTATGGATCTCTCTGAAATTGTACTGCAAGGTACCATACCACAAAGGGAAGGCTGGGATTTAGTTTGGGGGTGATGAATCATAAGGGGGTTCAAAAAATTTTGGGGGGGGGGATTTTTTTTCCTTTTTTTTTCTTTAAAATTTTCCATTTTAAATTGGTTATTTCTGATTTATATATAAAAGCAAATAATAATGATATGGTTTGAATAGGTAAATTAAAAATTTTTAAGTTCTTAGACCACTTTCATTCTGTGTCAGAAACCTATGCTGTGTCAAATATTTAGTTACAATCCAAATTCAGTGCTGTATCAAACTTGAATGTTGTGTCCATACTTGCCCCAACTGTTCAGGGTTTGACCTCTGTGGTCATATCAAGCTACCCAGCGGAGCATTTTATTTTTTAATGTTGCAAAGATGAAACATATATCAATCAAAAGTTATTTTAATTTAGGTTCTAACAGTATTTGGGTTGTGAGATGAATTATTTGCGGATTTAAAGAAAAAAATTAAATAAGAAGACTACACACAGAAAATTTCAATATTCCACCAATAAATTTACTGTGATTGGGCTACTAATAAAAGTAACTTGAGGAGTATTACTATATAAATATCCATCACCTGTGTACTGACAGGTTGAATATAAGTACCGGACATCAATCGATCTTTGAAGTTGTTTCTCACATTTAACTTGTTTAATACTAAATAATTTTATTAACACATGATTAAGCTTAGGGCAGTTCCAGAATTAAATGTATGAGGGGGGGGGGGGGGGGGTTGTCAGATGGCACTTTTTTTTTTGCACCCACCATGCATTAATTTTAATTACCTACTACCCCCACCATGCACAAAATAAAAGTGGAAAATATAACCACCATGCATAAAATTAAATAAAAAAATGTTTAATTCTTAAATGTTGCAATTACTGTGTGATTTAATCTGATGGATTGTATACAAAAGTAAAACTTATTATTTATATCTAATAAAGTTTCCTGCTTGCAAAAACTGTAGTCTATCTGGTTTTTTTTTTTTGTTTAAATGTCTGCAATGTTTGGTCTCTCTATCTGTCATAAAACTTTTTCTCTGTGTTAGTAAAGAGTTCTTGTTTAAGGAAGGGGGAGGGCAACATCAATGCAGGCAGAAGTGGGCCAAGGGAGATAACTCAAAGGCGATTACACTTCCGGTAAACAGATAAATCTCCGAAATGATTAAGTCTGGCATGCAAACATCGCGACAACAGCTTCTTATTTTATTTATTTTTTGTAACACCATCATAAAACATTATTTGAAATGTTTTGATTAATATTAATGAAGGAGAAACCCCACCATGCACAAAATTGAATTCAATTAATGACCCACCATGGATAATTTTCAAACTGATTTTGCACCCACCAGGCATGCAAATTTAATAGCACTGCCGTCCGACCCTCCCATACATTTAATTCTGGAACAGCCCTTATCAAAAATGTGATTGAAATGATTAACTTTTATTCAAATTAGTTCGAAATAAATCAAATTTATAGTTCAAAATCATTAAATATTTAAATCAAATTAGTTCAAATCGAATTAGTTCAAAATGATAAAATATTCAAATCAAATTAGTTCAAAAGGACGAAAGTTTGCAAGCATAGAACTGTATAGCTATCAATGATGGAAAACTTTGGCGACTGACTACAGTGATGTCAAACCATCCTATTTCGTCACTACCTCTGAGATAGCTATTAAAGATAAAAAAACACAATATATATATACATGTATGTAATTCTGATATAATATCAACATCTCGTGTGTATTCCTGATTGGACACTATCTAATTAACAGTCCATGAGCATTTGACCCTGTTAAAGCTATAAATATAAACTGACCAGACAACATTAAAATACAAAATGACAACTAAGCAGGTGCAACAGTATAAGATCTATTTTCTTAGTCCTGCTTGATCTCATTTCATAGATAAAAACATATAAATTAAATGAACTATTAACTTACAAGCTGTATATAACTTTTGACAGTCTTCCTGCTGTTGCCTTCCCTTATTTCACTTTTCCGTATGTTTTAATCACATGATGCACATGCACAACCCATCTCCAACAAAGATTTAATCAAAGGTGGCTTAAGAATGGATTTTTTTGGTTGACTTATTGGCTTGCAAGTCAATAATAAATCTGATGTTTTGTGCTAATTTTGACAAATTTGAACTGACTGCTAGAAGCCAAACATTATTTAATATTATGCTTTTATAAATGTTTGAAACAAAAAAATTATTTAATTTTATTACACTGCCGCTAGGCGACCAGGGCATTAAGGTTTACCCTTGTAGGTCTGTATGTCCAGAAACCAATCTGTTCTCTAATTTTACTTTGCCTCAACCAAATGTTATAAAATTTATACACAATGCTTATTATCACAAAATGCAGATCAAGTAAGAATTTGGGTCAACTACAAGGTTCTCAAGTTATGTCTCTATTTAAATGGGTAAATTGCTGAATTTGTTGTAAATTTACAAGTGGGGCATCTGTGTCCAATGGACACATTTTTATTTCATTTGTCTTAATTGTTGCAAATGCCATTTTAGATTGTCATAAACTTATGCCTATTAGTGTCTGAAAATCTGGGATTTTTGTGAAAATTGTGTTTTAACATGAAATCTTTTTTGAGTGTTTTGATTTTTGTTTTGATATGTTACAGGTTATAGAAATAACAGATTATAGGGGCCAGTTATATGATTATATCAAGAACAGAATGTTAGCAGTTGCTCCTAACCTGACTATACTGGTGGGAGAACTAGTCGGTGCCCGTTTGATTGCTCATGCAGGTATAGTTCAAAAAGAGGTTCTATTGTTGATTCATATGTATCCCAGTTCATGGAATGTGAAACTATTTACAGTCTTAATAATTTAAGATATTGCCTGTATCAGATTTACATAAAAACTATTAAAGTGTAGGATAAAATATGTCTGAAAGAGATATAATCAGTAGAATACTGTAAACCAACTAATTTTCGAGAGCGATTTTTTTTCGCGACTTTTGCGAGTAGAAAAATAACGCGAATATAAATCGTCGCGAATATGTAAAACTTGTATCTTTACTTATTTAACTACATCAAGCAAATTAGAAAATCGCGAAATGGGCTAGTAAGGACTAAATGCGAAATAAATTATCCGCGAAAATAAGTTGGTTTACAGTAATGGCTTGTCAAAATCTGTTTATTAAAATTATTATTGAGTATAATAATGTCAGCATGAAATGGTTTGTAAAAAATAGATCTGCTATTTACATACTATAAGAATTTTTCTTCAATAATATTGAAACATTCTCTTCAGTAAGAAAGTATCTAGAAAATAACTTAATTTTATCCTATATTTCACACAAGTCCTTGACACCTTTGCTTTGCCTAGTCATGATGCGCAGTCAGTAGCTCAAATTTAAACTGAGCTACCGCTGGTCTACTTGCAGGCTCATTGCTGAATTTGGCAAAGCATCCTTCATCCACAGTCCAGATTTTAGGGGCAGAAAAAGCCTTGTTTAGGGCCCTGAAAACAAAACACGACACACCTAAATATGGTCTGATTTATCATGCATCAATGGTTGGACAGAGCACACCAAAGATTAAAGGGAAGGTATGTATTGATGGTTGTAGGGTAAAGTTATTTTAATGATGTTTACAGGAATATGAAAAATTTGTATGATTTGTTTTCAATAACTTCAATCCAAAATGATTTTTTAGAGACTTCTAAAGTACAATAGTGATTCTTTATAGCTATATAAATTGGATTACTTTGGATTAGTTTTATTCATGGGATATCAATTTTCTTGGGTATAGGTGAACCACAAATTGAAATGTTCAACGAAGTACAAATTTTCTTTAGACTTGTATACAGATTTTAGTCGAACCATGAACTCAAATATCCATGAAAGTTCATTTTTTTCATCAATCCACCAAATTTGGTGACCACCAATATAAAAGAATTCACATTAAGCCTTGGCAAAGAGCTTTTCCAGAGGTGTTCAATTCTGTGTGCATATCAAAGAGGATGGGAATGGTCACTGTATGTTTGTTAGGCTTATCGGGACCATTTTCCCTAATGTAGATATTATTTAATCTATTAGTGAAGGAGGGGGCAACACAATATTTGCAGCTCTCCTAAGGTATATTTGTATGTACTAGCACTAGTGGATTTTTTTCACTAGAAATCTAATTAGTCCCCTACCGACGAAGTCGAAGGGGACTTTAGGTTTGCACTCTGTCTGTCTGTCTGTCTGTCCATCCGTCAGTCCGGCAAATCAGTTTTCCACACTTTTTTGGTCACGCTTGAAGATATTGATTTGATATTTTGTGTATTGTTTTATCATGACAAGTTACAGATCAAGTTTGAATTTTGTTCCAGTCTGACGATTTTGTGCAGAGTTATGGTCCTTGAAGTCAGAAAATTCACTCAAATAATCAGTTTTCCCCACTTTTTTTTGTCATGCTTAAAGATATTGATTTGATGATTGGTATATAGTTTTATCATGACAAGTTACAGATCAAGTTCAAATTTTGTTCCGGTCTGATGATGTTGTGCAGAGTTATGGTCCTTGGACTTAGAAAATTCACTCAAATAATCAATTTTCCACATTTTTTTGTGTCATGCTTTAAGATATTGACTTGATATTTGTTATATAGTTTACACCATGACAAGTTATAGATCAAGTTAGCATTTTGTTCCAGTACAATGAATTTTTAACCGGTAGGGGACTATGTATTGCGAAGCAATACTCACAGAATGCTTGTTTGTTTTAATTTGAACAACTAACTTTTTGTTTTAACAGTTACTGTTCATTACAATATGGAATTTGCTGCTTACAAGAAATTTAACATCACTTGAATATGTTTTTAAAAAAGATCAGAATGATGACATTTGAAAACTGATTTTTCAGGTATCCAGAATGTTGGCAGCTAAATGTGCTCTAGCAATCAGAGTAGATGCTCTTGGTGAGGAAACTAACACAGAAATGGGTTTGGAAGCCCGAGCTAAATTAGAACAAAGGATGAAAAGACTGGAGGATAAGGTGTGTTTGATTGACAAATACATGTCATATATTTTCTGTTAAAATTGAAAATTGTCAATCTGGTGACTAAAGTGACTACGCCTTGGTTTAAGACCCTTGCATATGTTACCTATGGAAAATTTAGAATGATATATTAGAGTGTGTCTCCAGTAATCAACAGCTTTCATTATGCAAATTTACAGAGAAGATATTTAAGATGCTCAAACTGTCATTTCTTTCTACATGTGTGTTTGATTGTGTTTTTGTTTCACAATGAAAATTCCTAACAAAGATATTTAATACACCACAGACAGTCATTTTCTTCTTTCAAGCAAAAAGAATTGTATCAACTGATTAAAGTCAAATAAATTTATTTAAAGTTACAAAGCAAAAACTGCAATTGAGCTTTTAAACCTATATTCCTAGTATGTTATAACGTACAACAAAAATGTTATAAAATTGTTTCTTGTTTCAGGCCAGAGGTATAAGTGGTTCAGGGAAAGCACAGGCAAAATGGGAGAAATATGAAAACAAAAGGTTTGTATTTAAATGTTTGATACAAGTGAAAAACCAATGTCTGATTTTAATACTTATTGAAATAAACTGTTATGGTGCATACTAAAAAACCAGGGTTCAATTTCTGCCATGTTAATTTTGTCATTTCAACCTGCCCATAGTGGGCCCTACATTTATATGTAAAAAGACTATTTCACAAGCTCAAATATTTTTCTTATTTATATTAGATTCAATTCTTATAATGAAAGAAGTGAGTGGCCATATGGTAAAAAAAAGTTCATTTACAGTATCACTAGACTCAACACTGAGGTAGTGAGTTTAAACCCCTCACGTGACAGGTGGGATTCGACTCCAATCTGACCTGTGAGGTTGTGAGTTTAAACCCCTCACGTGACAGGTGGGATTCGACTCCAATCTGACCTGTGAGGTTGTGAGTTTAAACCCCTCACGTGACAGGTGGGATTCGACTCCAATCTGAACTGGTAGGGTTTGCTAGTTTTTCTGCTGGAGGTCCGTGGTTATCTCTGGGCAGTTTGGCTTCTCCACCAATATTGCCACCATGATATAGCCAAGCATGCTGAAAGTGGTGTCCAGCTATAACAATCAATTATATAATGAAAGAAAACACATAGCATGTTGAATGCAAAGGATAGGCCCAGGGTACTTTCTAGACATTTTCCACTCTCTTTCACCACTCGTACCGTGGATGGGCGAAAATTACAAAATCCACTTCAACTGCAATGTATTTGTATAAGCCAAAATATGGTCTGGAATTTCTTAAAATGTCATTATATTTTCAGTGAGGTGAAGACATACAATGTTGGAGCAGATTCCACATTACCCAGAGTTCCAAAGAAAAGGAAGTTTGAAGATGAATCAGATGAAGATGTTAAACCAAAAGTCCCCAAAACAGAATTAATAGGTAAGATCATCGTGTAGATTTGTGATGATTTGGGAAATGTCTCGATACTACAATTTGAATGAATTTGAAATAGTTCATGATGAATAAAGAGTTTACAATTGCATTCAGGGAGATGCAAATTTTTCTAAGTATTATATATTATTGCGAATGTTATGTCGGAATATGTTTCGCAAAAATAAAAACACATACTGTGGATTCATTTATTTCCGTGGATTGAGGGGAAACTAGTTTCGTGAATATTTGATTTCGTGATTCTGCTAAAAATGCCTTTCAGCTTTGTATCCATTTTCCCTTTTGGTTACGGCACCATAAAATGTGTAAATCAAAGTAAATGCGATGTATATAGATCGTGTTTATTTAACGTCTAGCCATTGCTATATATGTAACGTATATAGATCGTGTTTATTTAACGTCTAGCCAATGCTATATATGTAATGATATAGATCGTGTTTATTTAATGTCTAGCCAATGCTATATATGTAACGTCATAATATACAAAGTGTCAGGTAGCAACGTTAACCTGCATATATTCGCGCTAAATTCCCGACACCCCTGTCTTGATATTCTGTGCCAATCAAACAGTTGTTCAGATTTTTTTCCCGTTGTGCCTGTTGATTTGATTTGATCTGATTTTGAGAATTTGTGTTTTGTTTATATGGTTAACCAAATTTTTGGCAGAATTGTTACTCTTGGAAATATGCTATCTCATAAAAATTGAATTTTGATGGACTGTTTCTTTTGTAATACCTGAAGATGTCAAGCAATTTGTTGGTACATTATTGTAGAATGATGACTTGTAGTTTGAGTACGCATTTTGTTCCAGTTGATAGAATACTGAAACTCCCTTAAAATAAATATGTAAATTTTATTAAAAAAACCAATAGTTTTAACAGTAATGTAAATGTTTTTATATCTCCACAGATGGTGATGTTTCATCAGAGAAAAAGAAAAAGAAGAAGAAGAAAAAGCAAGAAAATGGCGATTTAGATGATACGATGGATACAACAGTTAATACATCACAGGAATTAGGTAACTACATTCAAAGCTATGGAAAAAAGTTGACAGTGCTGTTCAAATTTTATGGGATGAGGGCTTTGATGCAGAAGAAATGGACATGTTTTGATTCTTCTTATGAATAAAAGTTAGATAATAACATTACCAGTACCAGTTTTCTGCACCAGTTGCACATTTTGACAATAAATGTCTCTTCTGTGATGTTCGAGACCAAAATATTTGAAAATCCAAAACTAATTTAAAAAATGAATAGCTAGTAAAACCTAAAACGACAAAGTATAGCCAAAGCTGAGTAAGGGTAGTGTTTTATCAAGATACATTTTTTGGTGCATGTAGATTCAAGAATAATAAGACATGGATCGTGTACCACCACTTCGACATAGTAGATCAGATTGGCTATTATAGCCTATTAATTTATGAAATGATGATTGATTCTGCAAAACTTAACATGTTGTACCAGTAATTCACGTTCTGGGATTGATAGCTATTTTTGTCGAGCCTGCGACTTTTGTCGCAGAAAGCTCGACATAGGGATAGTGATCCGGCGGCGGCGGCGGCGGCGTTAGCTAACTTTTTAAAAGCTTTATATTTTAGAAGCTAGAAGACCTGGATGCTTCATACTTTGTATATAGATGCCTTATGTTACGAAGTTTCCGTCTGTCATATGTCCAATGTCCTTGACCTCATTTTCATGGTTCAGTGACTACTTGAAAAAAAAGTCAACATTTTTTGTAATGTTAATTTCTTTCTTATTATGAGTAATAGGATAACTATATTTAGTATGTGCGTACCTTGCAAGGTCCTCATGCCCGTCAGACAATTTTCATTTGACCTCGACCTCATTTCATGGATCAGTGAACCAGGTTAAGTTTTCGTGGTCAAGTCCATATATCAGATACTATAAGCAGTAGGTCTACTATATTTGGTATATGGAATGATTGTAAGGTGTACATGTCCAACTGGTAGGTGTCATCTGACCTTGACCTCATTTTCATGGTTCAGTGGTCAAAGTTAAGTTTTTGAGTTTTGGTCTTTTTTTCTATTACTGTATGCAATAGGTAAACTATAAATGGTGTATTGAATGATTGTAAGGTGTACATGTCTAGCTGGCAGTGTCATCTGACCTTGACCTCATTTTCATGGTTCAGTAGTCAAAGTTAAGTTTTTGAGTTTTGGTCTTTTTTTCTAATACTATATGTCATAGTTCAACTATATTTGGTGTATGGAAATATTTTATGATCTATATGTCGGTCACGCAGGTTTTATTTGACCTTGACCTCATTTTCAAGGTTCATTGCTCAGTGTTAAGTTTTTGTGTTTTGGTCTGTTTTTCTTATACTGTATGCAATAGGTCTACTATATTTGGTGTATGGAATGATTGTAAGGTGTACATGTCTAGCTGGCAGGTGTCATCTGACCTTGACCTCATTTTCATGGATCAGTGGTCAAAGTTAAGTTTTTGAGTTTTGGTCTTTTTTTCTAATACTATATGCAATAGTTCAACTATATTTGGTGTATGGAAATATTTTATGATCTATATGTCAGTCAGGCAGGTTTTATTTGACCTTGACCTCATTTTCAAGGTTCATTGCTCAGTGTTAAGATTTTGTGTTTTGGTCTGTTTTTCTTAAACTATAAACAATAGGTCAACTATATTTGTTGTATGGAAGAATTGTTAGCTGTACATGCCTGCCTAGCATGGTTCATCTGACCTTGACCTCATTTTCATGGTTCATTGGTCAATGTTTAGTTTACTTGGTTAATGTTAAGTTTATGTGACAGTTGTAATAAAGCTTTATATTTAGGACTATCAACATAATATAAATGATTAGTAAAGAAGGCGAGACATTTCAGCGTGTGCACTCTTGTTTTTTTAGTAATTAATACTGGAAGCTTTGTTTTATAAATAGACTAAAATGTTCTTATCTGATAGTAGGGTTTTACACAGGAAAAATTGGTAAAAATTGTGTCTTTTTGCTCATAAGTTACTATACTTCTTTGCTCTTTATAGTTGAATTGTTGATTTCAAAAGGCTCAGTAAACCTTGCAAAACTATCTGGAGAATTATACCAATTGTTGGAAAAGGAGGTCACACCAATGATTACTTGCAACATCATTTCCTGTAATGCTGTATACTCACTGATTAAACCTAAAAAAAAAGTTACCTTGAAAGAAAAAGTGATGCGATAAGCAGCAAATAAAGACGATAAACTTATACTTCTGTTTGAATTTAATGAAGCCATTAATTTACTCTTTCCACCTTATATTTTTTTAATCGATAATTTTTGAAAGACAAACTTATTAAAATGACATTTTCAGTTATTGCATTTGGATTCTCTTCATAATTGCGTAGAAATGGATATATAATCCCCTTTGTTAAACTTTCAGATGTCAGTAGTGAAAAGAAAAAGAAGAAGAAAAAGAAAAAGATTAAAGAAGAACCATCCTCAGACTAGTAGACCAGTGACTACATTTTATAAGTCATATGACTACATTTTATCAGTCATTATATCATGTGTTCATTTATGTAAAGATGACAATTTCTCTGAAACCAGTGATCATTATTATCATTGATACCCCATGTTCAGACATTATACATGCATTAAATAAGGAAATTCTATCCAAAGCTCAGTTTTATGATTTGAGATCAGTTCTGGTGATTGCACGATTGGTAGTTTAGCTCCAAGTTTTATTGAATGAGTTCCTACTTTTTAAAATAGTTTGACAGATTTTTTGTAGATTTTAATCTCACAAGATTGAGTAGAAAAACTCTAATCAAATAGGCCAAACAAAAAATAGGGTTTTTTCCTTAAGGAAAAATGGGGAGGTAAGATTCCTTTTTTTGTTTAATGTTTTTTTTACCTTGAAAAGATGGGGAGACCTACAATTGTGTCCCAGTTCATTACCATAATGGTTAATAAAAAAAATGTGAGGAGGCATTTTAAGGTATGAAAGTAGTTAAGGAAACCCTAAGTGCGATTTTTTTTTATTTTGGCCTGAAGGACAAAGGCACTTTTTTCAATATTACTGTGAATATGATTGGTAAAGGGCATTATGTTTATATTCTTATCTTTTAATGTAGTCAGCACTTCTGTGTTGACTTTTAATTATCATTGATATGGTAATACTGATAAATAAACTATTTACAAAATTTTGAATTATTCGAAATTCTAATGATTTTCTTCCCCAGGAATCGATTACCATAGCATAGAATTTTAATAACACAGTTTACTAAAATCTACAGACCAATGTGTGTAATATTTTATTGTAGTTATTTCTAAAACATGGTATTACCATTTGTATGTTATTACAACTTATTCATTTGAATGTGTACAAAATTTGAATATAAGTTTGATTGTTTGTTAAGGTGAACCATGAAATCAGTCACATTAAAAACTTCCTGTTGAGAGAGTATCAGTTATCAATGTTCACCATCCAAATCATGGTTCAAATGTATAACCAAAGAACCTTTTTGATCCTTTTGTCTTTATATATACAGAAGCTAATAGAGAAATCATGGTTCACCTAATAAACAAGGAAACTTAAATAAGATGCCATGAGTTCATAATGAGGTAGTTCAGCTTTGAAAAATGGAAAAAAGTTGTTAAGTATGCATTTATTTGTTGAAAGTCGAGTCACTTGTTAAGTACTATAGAAAATTAAACTGTTTTATATAAAAGAATATTGTTTTTTTTGTCATTTGAATATTGACAACTCTCTGTATTTGTAAAAAAAGAATAAAACAAAAGCATACAGTTGACTAGAGGTATAGGGGGAAGGTTGAGATCTCACAAAACATGCTTAACCCCGCCATATTTTTGTGCCTGTCCCAAGTCAGGAACCTCTGGCCTTTGTTAGTCTTGTATGTTTTTTAATTTTAGTTCATTTATATGTTTTGGAGTTTAGTGTGACGTCCATTTTCACTGAACTAGCACACAATTTTATTGAGGGGCCAGCTGAGGACCACCTCTGGGTGTGGTATTTTCTCACTGCATTGAAGACCCATTGGTGTCCTTTGGCTGTTGTCTGGTCTTTGGTCGGGTTGTTGTCTCTTTGACATATTCCCCATTTCCATTCTCAATTTTATCAGTTACTCGTAATACACCAATCTGTTATTTCTGATATCATGGCAGGCATGAATCTATTCTTCTATTCTGTGTAATATTGTTGCTGTTGATTTGCCTCAATTCTGAAGTCTCCTGAAACATCTTTGACTTTTCTATTAGTATCTTTATTTTTTTTAAAGAAAGGAAATAGTGAGCTTATTTTCTCCTTTGAATTCTTTATTAATATGTCCATCCATTGAAAACTCCAAATATTTTCCTGTTAATAATTTATGATTTGCCTGGTATATACGAATTAGACAGCATGCCAAAATAATCTGGTCTCTATACATTATGTCAAGCTTTGAATTAAATTAACAACTGTATAATAGATATAACAAAACACAAGTGCAAAGAATACTTGTAGTTGAAGCAAGCAAGCTAATTATGTCAACAACAAAAAAATGAAAACACTATAAACTTGGATTTGTGACAAGTGAAAGCCAAATGACCAAATGGAAACTGAAATAAATGGCCAAATCCTTCAAAAGGTCAACTTTGATTGAGGGAGTTGGAACTCTAAATTTCCAAATAATTTCTAGGATTATCAACATATTAACGGTATGTTATAAACCATGTCCATAATGAAGTACTGACTACTGAGCTGATGATAACCTAAGGGACGAGCAGTCTATCAGCAACTTGATTCACACAAGTGCTAAACAATGATAACACTTTATAAATTTGATGCGTCCGAAACAGTTTTCTGAATTTATCCTCATCAGGGACGCTCAAACCCAAAATTTAAAAGCCACAAGTTTAAGATAAAAAACCCACAATGATCCGAACAAATTCAAAATGGAAGCAGAAGTACTTGATACTGGGCAGATGATATACCAAGCAGTGGAATGGACTCGATGGGGATTCAAAATAAATTTGGCCATTGGAATAGCAGAATTGCTTCAAGGAAACAATAACTTAAACAATTAAATTTAGGTTTCAAAGAAAGATCTATTTGAGTGATTCGTTTTATATTTGGCTTTTGCCCTTGAGTCATGGAATATTTGCCAACAGACGTTTACAACTATTGATATATAAACAATTTTATACTTTATAGTTTAATATTCTGGGGTCATAACAAGGATCAATTATTCACGAATTGTATTTTATTTCCACCTCTTTCTAGGTCAGCATACTTTATTGTGGCTATGCACACATTTTGTACACTTATTTTAGCATTTTGTTGGGCAGAATATTCATTTCAGTTATTAAGTTGTTGTCTCGCCTTCGACTTGAGTCACAGTATGCGAAACAGGTTTTTACAATGGGCTGTGGCTGTGACAGCCTAAACTATTTGTTTAAAGCTTTATATTTCAGAAGATAGAAGACCTAGATGCAACATACCTTGTGTGCAGATACCTTATGTTATGAAGAGTTTCCGTCTGTCATATGTCCACTGTCCTTGACCCCTTATGAGTAATAGGATAAATATATTTGGTGTATGGGTTCCTTGCAACGTCTACATGTCTGTCAGGTAGGGTTCACCTTGACCGTATTCCATGGATCAGTGATCAAGTCCATATCTCAGATACTATAAGCAATTGATTAACTATATATGGTGTATGGAATGCATGTAAGCTGTACATGTCCGACTGACAGGTTTCATCTGATCTTGACCTCAATTTAATGTTTCGTTGGACAATGTTAAGTTTTTGTGTATTGGTCTATTTCTCAAATACTTTCACTATATTTGGTGTATGGAATGATTTGCAGGTGAACATGTTCATCTGACCTTGACCTCATTTTCATGGTTAATTGGACAATTTTTAGTTTTTGTGAATTGGTCTATTTCTCAGATTATAAGCAATAGGCCAATTATTTTTAGTATATGGAACAATTGTGAGGTGTACATGTCTGTCTGGTAGGGTTCATGTGACATTGAACTCATTTTCATGGTTCTTTCGTCAATGTTAAGATTTTGTGGTTTAATCTGTTTCTCATGTACTATTAGCAATAGGACCACTATTTCTAGTGTAAGGAACGATTGTAAGGTGAATATGTCTGTCTGGCATGGTTCATCTGAACTTGACCTCATTTTCATAGAACATTAATAGTGTTAAGTATATGTGATACTTGAAGTAAAAACTTCATATTACAGACTTTCAACATTAATTCAATGATAAGTAAAACAATCGAGACATTTCAGCGTGTGCACTCTTGTCTATAAAATTGAGAATGTAAATGGGGAATGTGTCAAACAGACAACAACCCGACCAAAGACCAGAAAACAGCCGAAGGCCACCAATGGGTCTTCAACACAGCGAGAAAATCCCGCACCCGGAGGCGTGCTACAGCTGGCCCCTAAACTAGTTCAGTGATAATGGACGTCACACTAAACTCCAAAACATATAAATGAGCTAAAATCAAAAAAACATATAAGACTAACAAAGACCAGAAGCTCCTGACTTGGGACAGGCGCAAAAATGCGGCGGGGTTAAACATGATTAATGAGATCTCAACCCTCCTCCTATACCTCTAGCAAATATGTTGTGTTTTGTATACTATTGTTTGTCTTTTTGTCTTTTTCCGGTGTGTTTTAACCATGGCGTCAGTTTATTGTCGACTTACGGTTTGGAATGCCCCTTTGGTATGTTTCTCCTCTCCTGAACAAAGTGAACAATATTACCAAAATTATTCTGGTCCCCTTAAAATCAAATGGCAGAAGCCTTACAGACAGTACATCTATTTGCATAAGGTTGGATAACAGTTGTTGCTGTTTTCATGTGGGTCAAGCAATCAATATAACCTTTGTTTCATCCTATTAATTCAATAAAATGAAAAGTCTGGTTTTAATTAAAAGGAAGACAGAGGATCCAGTTTTATTAGTATGTTTCTACATTTACAATTGTTTTGTGACATTTATTGTTCACCAAGCAAATAAGCAAATTAAGTTCAAAGTTTTGTGGGATAGGTACATATTCAATTGTTTAGTGAAAGAAATGTTCCAACTCAGCATTTGCTGAAATTACTTTTTTAAAGATTTTTAGAACAATGGAATTTTGAGATTTTTAATAGCGTTTGAGTAAGCCTATAAATTGTTTCAGTAGAAAATGTTTCCATCTTGTTTACCAAATCCGGAGTGACTTAGGGGAATAGAATAAACATTTGTATGAAGTGGTCCTTTTAGTATATGATAGAATGTGTAAAATGGACAATTTTATAGTTAAGTTTGCCCGATCGATTGCTAGAAGGACAATACAATCAATATTATATTTGTGAACTTCACGATGACAGAGTTACATTTTATATCATTATATCACCTTTCCTGTAGTGGTTCTTTTCACTGTTGGTTGAGGGTATCATTAACCCGGTAGTCAGTTTTTAAATTTCCATTAATAATTATTAAGAAACTAAGGTTCCAACTTCCTGCGGCAATTTATATTATATGTACTCAAACTTTATTGTCATATAAATGAACTTAATATGTGATTTGTTACTAACACAAACAAAACATAGTATAAATCAAATGACAAGAAGAAAGCATGTATAATAATAATAGACAAACTAATTTTATTATACCTCAGTATGTTTTTTCTATATAAAAAAGAATGAAATATTTGTGCTATTTCATTCCACAGACTATTTGCCAGTCAATAGTTTCAAAGACTATTACCCCGGTCAATAGTTTTATTAACATATTTCCCGTACTTTTCATACTAATTTTTCATTGGACAACAATGACGTCATCGACTATTATGCTTGGATTTGTGCACTCGGAAATATCGTAAACGTTTAAATCTGTATGTATCTGTCGTAATTTCAAATTAATATATTACTTACCAGACGCAATTGAAAAAGAAAATCTACGCGACATATTTTAAGAACTAAAACATGTAATGTATGGTATTGGTCTGTCGTCGTCTTCATAATCTGGGATTGCTTTGGTGTACGGTAAAATATTTTAGCTAATGTTTATCATATGCACGGGAATTTTTACACAAGGATTCCTGGTCTTAATTACAGTAAATAGATTATTGACAAATACCACACAGGGAAAAAAAACCTGATAGATCATCTTGTACATGTCTATGTGATCATTTTTTTTTCAAGTGGTGTATGTAGTCTTTTAGAAAGTTGTTTTGTTCGGTATAATAAAACACTTAATGACTGGTTATGAGGGTAATAGCAAGTTTGTTGTCCCTTTGAAACTAACTATTGCCCTCGGCTTCGCCTCGAGCAATAGTTGGTATCTCAGGGACAACAAACTTGCTATTACCCTCATACCCAGTCAATAGGTGTATAATACTACATATTACTTAGTATAATAGTTTATTATTCAATTATGAGTCCCCACTATTAGTACTAATGACTGTTTCATAAAGGAACCTTTGCTTTCTACCTGTTTTGGTGTTGATGGACAGAGCATACATTTCATTTGAACATCATCATTTAGATCATTATTTTTTTTATTTATACACGATATAAGAAAACTCATAAAATATACCAGGCTTATCATTAGGTACGCATAACGCGCTTTCGTCTAGAAACGGCTCAGTAGGGACGTTCGAATAAAAATTTCAAACGTCAAATAAAAAACTGAAAACCAATAATTCCGAAATACTTTTTTTTTTGTGTAGTGACTCGATCACCGACATGTATGCATTGACAGATCTTACGCTTGTCCGTTAAACGAAAATAAAAGCGCTGTTTCTTTGTTTTCAGACAGTTTATCTATTCAGTGTGCGTGTTGAAAATTCGTGTCATTACTTGATACATAACATCCATTCCTTTCCGTCAAACATATTAAACGCAATACTTCAAATCCATGACATTTCGTCACACGAGTTCAACAATGTTCCAGAAAACAACAGCTAGTACAATAAGATCTGTGTCAATTTGACAGCACGTTTCGATAAAATCCGTTGTTAAGTTACTTTAACTCATTTATTTTATACATTTTTCATATGACAATACTCTGAGTGACAATAAAACAATATAATTTAAAAGACCGTTATATGAAATTCCCATCGAAGATTGGATCCAATATTTTACTTACCTTAATTTTATCTACATCAGAACATTTTAAATGTTATAAACATTTAAAAATGTAAAATACATAATTTCAGTCTTCTCAAATTATTTCCGTCAGACACTCCTATCATAAAACACAGCCATAGAAGGTATGTTGTGACTAAAAATAGACACCACTTTCACATAATTTAAAAAATAAACCCGAGATAAAAATAGATGCCGATCCTAAAACTACGCTAGATGGTGCTGTTAATACTTTATTGATAATCACTTGGTAAAGATGAAAAAGTTGAATTGGTGGACATATGAAGTACTTGTTACTTACAATACTAGAGAATACTTATTTTGTTGACAACTTTCAACATTTTCATAGCGTGTTTGCTATCAATACTAATGGCACGTGGAAGAAACAGGAAGTAATGTATTTTTGGTCCGTTTTGGGTGTACTGTGGTACTTTTGAGTAAGAGGAGTTGGATATTTCAAAAAAAAACAATTGTGTGCCATATATCCATCGAGAAGCGACATAAATTACATACACCAGTATAACAGGTGAGTGATCATAACATATTACAGTAAATATAACTAAAACGATGCTCAACATGACGGAGGGGTGGTATTCATTTAGAACTGTATTCTTAAATTGTTTAAATATAGGCCATGTATGTCTATTTTCTTAATTTTAATTGCTCAGTATGATCAATTTTTTTTTATCCTTTGTTTTCGTACTTTTTTCGTCATAATTCTCTATTCTGTAAATCCAGACCCTAATCATGCTTATGTTAAACACAAATTTTACACAGAATGTTTCATTTTTGTTTGTTATGTACTCAAGGTAATCATGATATCTACTGTAATTTTGTTCTTATGTTTTGGTGCTACACAGCTGCACCACTTCAGATGATGGTTGAGCACTCAAAAACATGTAATATATATCCCGTCACAAGTAGCTTGTACTCAATTTTTTATGTGCCTGTCCCGCCAAGTAGCTTGGAGTCCGTTGGATGTTGCCGGTTTCTGTCTTTCATAATTGTTTCTTTTAAAGTTAATATTCAATAAAATCATGCAGGCTGTTAATAGTTTTCCTTTTTGACATTTTGTCATCCTGAGGGCTTTTTTAGGCTACCAAACGGTATCGTTTTTTCTCTTTAATGAATGCCGCCCGCCGCACCAGTGAGTGTTAGGTATCCTGTAGTTGTTCACCTATATATCATTTGAGTTTTGGTGGATACCAGCCCTTTCTTATTTTACCTTTTTTTTAGATATGTTATTATTAGGATATGAAAAGAATTGAGCAACAGACAAAGCATATAAAAGCTCTCTCCACATTACTGTAATGTTATTACATATGCGAGGTATAAATATATAAACAACAGTATCTAAAATTGTAAAACTACAGTGGAGTAATGCACGCTACTTATTAGCACACACACACACAAGTACGTGTTAACATTGTAAAGTACATATTAAATGAAATAATGTTAGTAAAAAAGAAAAAAGTGTCATTCAACAACAAATACAGGTGAGTATAAAGTCGAAAACCTTAATTAGCATCGTAAAATGCAGATTAGAGTTCAAGTTTACATTATAAACATAAAAATGAAATATATAATTTGTACTTAAAGTATCCACAAAATTAATAGAAAAATTTACTCTTAAAAAATATATCATTGTATTTATACAAGGCAAAAAGAAAAAAAGTGCAAATTAAAAAATTCAAACACAACGATGAGTGTCATCGCTATACTTCTGAACATATTTAAAACTAGCATTGTTCATATCATACAAAATAAGCTATACAAGAATTATCATAAGAACAAATAGAAAAGGAAATGCTGGTTATCTTAGATTCAAAAGAGTGATCACAGTTTGATCAAATAGTATCATTTGACAAAAATATGTTGAACAAATCAGATTTTAGTTAAATAGCATTATTTATAAGGTGACAATGTCTCGTGATGTATTTCCTTATCCGATAATTGAAGGGTTTAAATATTTCATCCGTCCTGTAAAATTTGTCTAGCCTACTTTAGCATATGCATAAACTAGGTGATTCTTTCATACTTAGAGGAAGATTATTCCAAAGCCTTACAGTTGAAGGGAAGAAACTCCTAAAAGAAGAGCTAGTTATAGCAAGTTCAAAAGTATTATTTTCATTTCTCATGTCTGGGATAATATGGCTTGACTAACTCATATACGTATGCAGGTGTCATCCCATTTAATATTTTATACAGTATAAAAGTAAAATAATTTCTGAGGAAAACGTTATTTATTTTCCAGAATAATGGCAGAATCGACATATCAGTCACAAGAAACTAATAAAACAATTTCATCTGAAGAAACATATTTCCTACGAATAGCAAACTTGCTTATCAGGATTGCCCCATCTGCGGTCAGAGTTAAATTTGACAAAGAATTTCATCCAGACGTACTTCAAAAATCACTAAATCAGGAAAAATTTAAGATGTTGGAGTCATTAAAAAAGCGAAACATCTTAACCCAAACACAATGGGACTTGATGTTTCCTAAAATAGGTATGTATGAATAAGATATGTTTGGTTTCTGTAACATTACACGTATTACAAGGATATGCAGAACGCTATTGTGTTAATGTTATATTAATATTTTTACAAGTCAAAATATCACTAAAATGTTTGTACATAGTTTATCATCTAAAACTGTATTGTAGATATAGATAGTGAACAATAATCAAATACATAGTTTTAAACGAGGTTAATGCTTCTTCTCCAAACATGAACCCTAGACTAAAGTAAAAATAATCATAACAATACTATAAACTTAACTGCCACAGTAAACCAATAAAATATCTGCAAAAGTAATTGACGGTCAGAAAAGTTGATATATTCCAAAAGTGTTATCTTCTTTGTCATTCAACAACAAATACAGGTGAGTATAAAGTCGAAAACCTTAATTAGCATCGTAAAGTGCAGATAAGAGTTCAAGTTTACATGATAAAAATAAAAATGAAATATATAATTTGTACTTAAAGTATCCAGAAAATTAATAGAAAAATTTACTCTTAACAAATATATCATTGTATCTAAACAAGGCTGATATGCTGACTTTGAATATATCGTCCTAGTTGTAAAAGTGATTTTGCACAGAAAACAAGCTTTACTCTTGTTCTTATTACCGTGTGTAATCCAAATTTGTGCTTGTTTTCAATTCTTTGGTTTAACATTTTTTTATTGGTGTAGAGGAGTAGACATCAGTTACGTCATCTCGATCACAGGCTTAGAACGAAACAAACATTATTACTGCGGTAAATTCTGCATTGATTGCATATTTGTCTTGCGGTCAATGAACATCTGTTCAGTTTATTGACGATGTTTTGCAGCTGCTATGTTGTGCTAAACTTTTGACTGCGATCGAAATGGTTAAAGACGCTGAATTTAATACAAGGAGATGCTAGTATTATTCTAGTACATTGGATAGCTTATTTTTAAATCCTGTTTGTTTTCTATGAGAAAGATTCCCCAGGGATCATCGAACACACAGAAAGGATCATTGTTTTAATTTGTTTTTAATTTTTAAGGAACAACATCATCTTCGAACTTTGACCTAACGTTAATGATAAGTCTGATTAGACATCTGACATCTATACCAGTAGGGGATATTCTACCTTTCACGACAGACACAAGTGAAGGTGCAGATCTCTCAAGATTAAAATATTATAGGAACAAGATTTCGCACAGCGACACTGGTACCTTATCAGAAATAGATTTCCTTCAATGGTGGACAGATATTTCGGAGGTATGTTATGTAATGAGGACTGAAAGACTGAAAGATCACTAAAATGAACCCTGTTTCATGAATTAATACAATGGTGGAAATTAATACGTCGATACAATTTGAGACTCCCCCAGAAAGACAAATATAGTAGGAAACATTTGATTTCAAGTCATGTTTACAGCATACTACAACGCTGACAATCAAACTTTATGAAAAAGCGAGTACCTGCGTGGAAGCTTGTTTACCAGACAGCTTGTATATTATCCCGTAATAAAATTTGTCATGCATGATATCCGGATATATGTCAGAATTGTTATGAAAAGAGAGAGCAGATACGAAGGGGGTATTCGAAAATTAAATAAAATAAAATAAAAAAACAACACCTGGACCACAAAAAGCTGAAAACTACAAGGGCCTCAATAAAACAGAAAGTACCAGGGCCACAGTTAAAAAAACGACGAGAAGACAAACCCAATAACAGAAACATTGTAAGGATTGAAAACTATATTCAATATTCGGTACTACCGACCGATACTCGAGTGCTCGTTAACATTCCTGTCTAAAACGATAGGAGCTTTATGATCAGAACAGACGTAACAAGAATAGCCAAATCCATCTGAGATTAACTTTGCCCGAGGGAGTTGAAACCTTATTTCCCATATATTTCATAATTTATCAACGGGTCATTTTAGAAAAATATTTTTACTCATGTTAGTATTGAATCTCTGACTACTGGGCTTATAATACCTTAGGGGTACTCAAGTTAATGTAAACAACATTTACTGCAATAGTCAACTTAAAAAAAATGTATCAATGTTATGTTTTAATTTATTGTATGATTTTTATAGGCAATTCACAGACTAAGTAGAGATCGGTTTAAACAGACTTGCACTGACCTAAAATACGCCAAACTGGATCAGAATGATAAAGAAATACTAATTGAGATGAGGAACATTGCAAAGTCTAACGACTCTATCACAAAAGGTGTACGAAGTAAGCATGGATTTTTTTCGTTTTTCAGTACAACCGGAACAAAACGTAACTAAATATGTTTATTTCTCAGATTTTATATTTTGATGTCATACTTGTATTATCACTCATTTTCGCGAGGTTAAAAGAGTAAAAATGTTTTGCCCAGAACCCCGGCCTTCGGTTTTTTATGTAAAGAATATCAGCTTATATAAGGTATACATTATGTAACTAAACTGTATCGCAGACATTTTCTCGCCGACTTTCATTCGGAATTTGTCAAATGGATTTAAATTCAGAATTTTGACAGGTGAACTTCACAAATATGACTCAACTAACAAGTGGCATCTCTTTGATCTTAAACACGTAAAAATAGTCTCATCTTTGAATTTACCGATTATGTCAAATCGCCTTATGTGAATGATTTGTCTGAGCCATGATTCGCATGCATGGTGGATAATGAATGCCTTGCAGGAGATGCTCACTCTGTTGATGCACCCTGTCTACTCCGTGTGTATATTTCGTATCCGAAGCACTTTTATCTATAAAGAAATAAAAAGATGTGGTATGATTGCCATTGAGACAACTATTCACCACTATGCTTATATAAGAAATCATTTAAGATTTTGATAATCGGTAAATTATTATTGGCTCTTATCTGACTCAAATTACAATCAAAAGAGTTTTAAAAAAGAATACATTTGTATTCATTTAGATCCTTTCTAATCACTCAATAACAAATAACATTCACTAATGTCTATTAAAACTGTCATCAGGGCAAATGAAAATATATATCATTATTGAATGGTGGATTGTTGGTGGTCAACAGCACTTTAAGGAACCTTTGAATTATCAGGGCGACTTGCAATTCTAGTCAAGTAAGATCGGAGCCGAAGAAACTATGCCACGAATGGGTTAAGAACTCCCAACAACAGTGCTGACAGACTGGTGATAAATGTGATAAACTATTTAGACCACCAACAAGAATTATAATTTTGATTATAGAAACAAAGAAAGCTCAAAAAATTTTATATTTATTTTTAGAAAGTATGCATACTTGTTTAAAAAACTATTGGAATAATCACACACTTTTTAACCAACAGAACTTCATGAGATGCAAATACAAGAATGGGAAAGCGAAAAGATAGTGGAAACAAGAGCTATAAAAGAACTGATTCATTTGATGACACACAACAATATCGTCTTGGTAACCGGTACATTTGGCTGTGGGAAATCTTCTGCTCTTCATTATATCGCTTTACAATTCCATCATGACAAAGAATATGATATAATTCCAGTGAGTAATCCTGAAGAAATCAAACAATATTTTAATCCGGACTGTAAACAGGTGTTTGTTATTGATGATGCATGTGGAACATATAGCATCGATATTTATAAGGTAAATCGATGGATTGATATCTCAAATGATATTTTATCGATGATTTTAAGTAGTGACATAAAAATTGTAGCATCTTGTCGTACTCACATTAGTCAAGATCGGTTATTCAAAGGGATTGATATCCTATCAGAAGTGACATGCGACATGTTATCAGTGAAACTATGTTTAACAGAAAAGGAGAGAATGTTGATTGGAAATATATTTCTCTCTCAAAATGATATGCAAGTGCTTAAAACATCAAACGAAAATTTAATTACAAAGTACTTTTTCTTCCCGCTTCTTTGTAATCTATATCAAAAACAAAAATCATTAGATATTGTACAGTTTTTTTCAAACCCGGATGAAGTAATAAGAACTGAGTTCAATAGGTTATTTAATGCCCAAGATCAGAAAACAATTGCAACATTAATATTATTCATTGTATATAACAATCGTGTACATAAAACAGTATTAACTAAATCCTCAGGAATAAAGGTATTTTTGGAGGACATTTCTGATTATCTACATTTGCAATCTTCGTTTTCAATTCAAGTTCTCAAGTCCGAGATACACAATCTTAAAAAGACATATGTTCAGAAACATGGAGAGACATACAGTATTGGCAATGAAAAAGTATTTGATATATTAGTTGCTTTTTGTGGTGAAAAATTATTTGACCTGATTCTTGACATTGCTGATGCAGATATCATTCGTGATCGTTTTTTGTTAAGAATTATGACAAAAACCACTGAAAATGCATCATTACAAGATGCCATTCATGTCGATGAAAAGGATGAAAGAAAATATTTTCACCGATTGTTGAAAGATATCGAAAATGGTTTTATCGAAAAGGTCTTTTCAAATCGAAACTTTAATAACAGCTTAGTTCGTAAACAGTTTGTAGAATACATAAAAGGGAAAATAGACGTTAATAAAGTTTTAATTCATTTGCCACAAGAAAAACTATATTCACTGTTGTTATCAATGCTACACCAAGGTTATAGTGAATTGGTTCCCATGTTGCTCGCAAAAGACATCAATTACAATCTTACTAACTGGAATGGTGATACACCCCTGTATACAGCCTCATATAGAGGATTTACCAACATTGTAAAATTACTTTTAGAAAATAATGCCAATCCAAATATCTCAACTTGGATATGTGAAAAGCCGCAAAACAACGTTAAACTGAAATATCAGCATAACTTTGATAATAACAGTAAACGACACCATTCCGAACGAGATGAAGTTGAAAGTCCTAATTGGGCAACTGTACGCAAAAGAAAGTGTTCTTTAGACGGACTGTTTGATGGAAGTGTGAATCAAATACCTCATCATGTCATCAGAAGATACCAAATGACATCACTTTATATAGCTTCAAAGGAGGGCTACTCCGATATCGTAGGGTTATTGCTAGAGTATAAAGCTGACCCTAATGTCATTTGTGATTCTGACAAGGTCAGTCCATTGATTGTTGCATGTCGGAAAGGTTATACAAGTATAGTAAAATGGCTTTTATTGCACAGAGGTGATCCTAATAGAACTTCCTGTGATGCGTCTAAAACTACTGCATTGTATGAAGCTTCATCGAAGGGTCATACTGACATAGTAAAATTACTATTAAACCACAATGCTGATCACGATATGAGATGTACTTGGAAAGAAGACACTGCCATGGATAGGGCAGTGTGCAATAATCATATAGGTGTAGTTGAAGAACTTTTAAAGTATAAGGTTGATTGTACTATATCAAACAGGGACACAAAAATACCTCTATTTGTCGCTGTAGAAAACAATTATAAGGAAATCATAGATTTGATGTTAAATTTAAGTTCAGATGTTCATATTCGAGATAAATTCAACACAATACGTCTATATTTAGCATCTAAAAGCGGCGACTTAAGCACAGTTCAAGAACTTTTGAACCAAAACGTTGAACCTGGAAATGAATATAATGTATCGTCCTTGTATATCGCTTCCTATGAAGGTCATGCGGATATTGTTAGGTTATTATTGGCCAAGAACATTGATACTAATATTGCTAATAAGGAAAATGAATCCGTTCTTTATGTAACCGTAAGTAGGGGTCATACTGATATTGTAAAACAATTGTTAGAACACGACTGTAATCCTAATATTTGCAATATTGACAATGAATCACCTCTCCATATAGCGACACGTTTGGGACATACGGAGATTGCGAAATTATTGTTAATTCACAAAGGAGATCCTAATGTGTATAACAACGAACACCAAACACCTCTTATCATTGCGTCAACAATCAGTCGCGTTGAAATTGCAAGTTTATTATTAGAATATAATTGTGATGTAAATATATGCAACAATGAAAATGAAACCCCACTTTATATAGCATCTTGTAGAGGAGACATTGCAATTGCAAAATTATTATTGGATCACAATTGCGACCCATTGATCAGTAATAAGAACAACGAATCTCCTCTAGTAAAAGCAAAGAGTTATGGTCACATTGAAATTGCTGAGATGTTGTCCGAAAAACTCAATATAAATAAAATTTTTTACGAAATTTAATATTGGAAATAATTGTAAATATTTCTTTTATTATTTTTTCATATATGTACAAAAGTGTATGTGATATGTTTTACGTTTGTCAATTTGAATTATACAGTCGAGGTCCTTGTTTGTTCGTGAATAATGTTTTAGAGGTTGACAGACATATAAAAGTAAAATTTAAAAAATACTGATCTCCAAACAAAATTCAAATTGGAAAGTCCCTTATCAAATGGCAAAATCAAAAGCCCAAACGCATCTAACGAATGGAAAACAACTGTCATATTCCTGACTTGGTACAGGCATTTCCTTATGTAGAAAATGGTGGATTTAACCTTGTTTTACAGCTAATTTATGTAAGAAATATTTTGCATTCTTTTTATGAACTACTGGACTAGTGCATATGTTATTATGTTGCCCTTACTTTAATCCTCGCATTTTCGATGGAGTTTTTGTGGGTTTTTTTGGCTGTGCACATACTAACTTTGTGACATGGATGGATACTCCGTATCCTGTCTTTTCTATTATATTATCGGAGTTTGTCTCTCTTGTTGTGTGGCGGCCGTAGACAGTTTCCTCATGCTAGAAATGTGTGCTGTATGTTTTTTTTCTGTTTTTTTTTTTAAAGTTACGGCGTATTTATTCTTGAGATAACTTCTCTATTGTATGCTACACCACGCTCTCAATTTAAGGCTAGTTTGTGTAATGAAAGAGCACACCACCCTTTCTTAACACCCATTGCTTCCTTCGTTAAATTTCACTTTCAAACATGTAAAGGGGCAGAGTCAATATACCGTTATTTCTACATCAGACCGTACGTATACTGATTACCGGAATTTTGGATACACAAAACCAGGTATTTCATATCTGAGAAACAGACAGCATAGGCCCTCAATTTTAGAATTCATTTATGCAGTTTTGTATCATTATTCAAAAGTATCAGTTAAAAGGTGTTCTACATGGATCAACAATCCTTCGCCTTTCATTTGGTACATAAATTTCCAAAATATATTCTACATAGCATAGATGGAGTAGTCAACGTTCGTTTTTATGATACGCAAAGTCAGTTCCTCGAAAAAAACATGCTGAAAAAAAACTCGAAATAACAGCAATCAATTATGTGGCATTTTGTACCTGTTCATTTCAACATATGTTGGACTACTTGTTGATTATTTGTATATAACAAATTTACCCAACCAACTATCCAAGATAATTTTGTTTCTTTGGAAAAAAGGTAATTTTAATTCAACATGTTCAACGTACATCAGAACAGAAAAACAACTTCACACTGACCTGTCTCTACAGCAAGTTTATTGTTATAGTCATTCGAAAGTTTTAAGTTTTTTTATGTTTCTTACTAATATATCACAACCTAATGATATATTACTACAAATGAAAACAAACTGGAGTATAATAGACAAATAGAGGCAATGTACATGTGAAATCAAATCGCATAAAAGCTCTGGAATTACTTTAATTATGCAATATGTTAATACAGTTTATCTATGGACTCTTGCACTCGAATTACCATTCTAGTCAGGATTATAGAGAAAATCTATAATTCAACAAATACAATATATAGCTGACAAAAAGAAGATGATTCGATAAAAGGGACCCTGCAGGATATAACGACAAAATTTATGTTAAATTTATTTTGTCTAGTCCCAGGTGTAGTGATATCAACTGTTCAAATTATTTAACACATCTGTATGATACAATAGGAATCATGTTCATCGAACATATGCACACCTGCATTTCACAACGTGTCTATAGATGGTTTGTTAACCTCTTTCCTAAATTTTGTGAATTCCCTATTTCAACTATTTCAAAAGGCCTAAAACACTCCTGTCATTGATACAAATACAGATTGGTGATGATAATAATGCCCATTGCTTACTACAGGCTATTCAAACATGTGACAGCTAACGATGATAACGTAGTTTTGTCATAACAAAATTGGATAATAAGGCATCAGTCTTGGCAACATTTTCCACAAAAAAAAAATGAGCAGAAACCAATACTTGATAACCTGATTACTTCAAATTGCATTTGTTATCTATATATATGCACCAAGCCTTTGATATTTGATATGACAAACCTTTTACTTCAGTAAGGAGGGATATTACAAACCTTTACCTTCAGTGGGGAGGAATCCAAAACTACCAATTGCGCTTGTGCATCGTTTCATTACACATATAGTCCGTTGATCATGCAATAACTGGAGACATTGGCATGATTCAGAATAGACTATTATTATAAGAAAGTGCATCATAAGCCTATTTGGCTGGCTGATTATTATGTCTTTTAAAAAATGTATTTATTTGTATATTTAAGTTGCACTATAATAAATTCTTCTTCTTCTTCTTCTTCTTCTTCTTCTTCTTCTTCTTCTTAGTAAACAATGAACAACTTAGAAGAGAACGTGTTTTTTTAAACAAACAATCGGATTCAAAGTTTGCTGACTATGTTGAACACATCTATCTCTTTGAACTTTAAATAAAGGACACAACATATACAGTTTAGTGTGCCTTATATCTTTACTTTCATTTAGAAAACAAACATTAGACGTCATTTAAAAAATAAACTTTACGACATAAAAGAGAATTTCAGCTTCCAAATTGTGTACTTTACATTTCTATTAGCAACATTCAATCAGCGCCTGTAGATGGAGTATATATCTCCCAGGTGATACAATATTCCCGAGCTTGCATTTTCTATCATGGTTTTCTTGATAGAGGATTGCTGCTTACCACAAAGCTTTATACCAAGAGTTCAAACTGTTGAATTTTGTATCATCCTTCCAAAATTTTACGGACGCCATCACGAGTTGTTTGTCCGCTATGGAATATCTGATTTACAGATCACGACGGACATGTTCCAATTGTCGCAAACACTATCCTGTCCTCTTTACCTCGAATGTAACTTACCGAATAAGATTTATTGATGGTTTTCAAGACAGCGGGTTCGACAGGTGGAAAAGGATAGATTTACCCTTTCTGCGCACCTGAGATCACCCCCAGTTTTTTGTGGAGTTCGTGTTAATCAGTTTCAAGTGTTGAATTTTGTATTTTGTGTGCTTTTGTTTTTCTTTTTTTGGTTTTTTTCTTTTTTTGTCATAACATTGTTAGTTTGTTCGTGTTCTACTTATGGGTTTGAATATCCCCTTTAAACTTCTGGTAACTAACCGCAGTTGAGAAACATGCTAGAAAATGGGCGAAGCGCATACCAGATGAATCAATTTTGGACACTTTATCTGAATAGATCAAACTTTGTAGTCATACATTCATAAGCGAATTAAAATTAAACGGTGTACAACGAACACAAGGGTATTTGGAATAAAAACTCGGCTTAATGAGACAATGTAGTCGATTTTTCAATTGAGTATAGGGATAAGCAATGTAAAGCGTAGGAAAATTAAAGGTTATGATGTTAATGCAAAATTTGACTGTGATTGAATATTTTGAGAAACGTAGATACAAATTCCTTGTTTTAGGTATTGAAAAACTTACTTTGTGATGAATCACACTGATTTCTAGAATTAATACACCGACTATGATACCATCAAAATACTGTACTGTTTGATCGACAAAACAGATATTCAGTTTTGTGGATTGATAATTCAGCAGACAATAGGCATTCCACTGATTGTCTATTTTATACAACAACTGGCCGACCTGTTAATTACTCATATGAAGCAGAACCTTATCAATGACAAAGAAATAGCATCTAGTTAAGTTTTAGATTTTGTTTTTTTGAATATTGGAAATGTTTGAATGAGTGATTAAATCACATATATCCAGTGAACTCACGGTTAAGGATACTACGGACTATAAAAGGTTAGCTTCATATCTTGATCTTTTTCTCGATATCGACACTGATGAAGGACAAAAACTAGAATATATGACAAACATGATCATTTTAACTTACCAAAAAAGGTAAATCACAAAAATACTGAACTCCAAGGAAAATCCAAAACGGAAAGTCCCTAATCAAAAGGCAAAATCAAAAACACAAACACATCAAACGAATGGACAACAACTGTCATATTTCTGACTTGGTACAGGCATTTTCTTATGTAGAAAATGGTGGATAGAACCTGTTTTTATAGCGCTAAACCTCTCACTTGTATGACAGTCGCATCAAATTTCATTAAATAGACAACGATGCGTGAATAAAACAAACAGACATAATAAGTAAAAATGTAAAATAGGGGTACAGCAGTCAACACCGTGTCACAATCTTAATCACAACAAAAACGAACAAATATTTAACAAAGAAGTACAAAAAAGCATATATCACATTTAACAACCTCGTTCATTGCTTACTTATTTTTGTATTTTATTTATGTATGCCAAATCAACCCATAAAGGATGGAGGGATTTTAAGCTCTGGGACCGAATCGTAATTTTAACTCAGGCGTAGAATAGCGTGTTTGACGTCAGAATGTAAACGTCACACAGGTTGAGATATAAAATAATTTTGTCGTTCAAAGTATGCAAAAATTATAATAGAACAATAACACAATGGCGGGATGTTTAAAGTACAGAGACACGTTATATGTATCAAAGAATCATAAAAAGTCACACGGACAAAGCACACAAGTAAAAATGAAAAATAATACAAACAACACAATGACGGGATGCATAAGTACAGAGCCACGTCAAATGTATATCAACAAAAACAGACAAAACAGTAAAAGTAATATTAATAAAGAAATATAAAAGAACACTTTAACACCGTATGAAGATGATAAACAGCGTCAGTACGCATAATCTATACTTCAGGACCATCATGAATTATTTGTGAAGTTGATACGGAATATTTATCAACAAGGTCTAGGTACCTTCCGATGAACTTTTTAAGAAAAAGGACGAGACGTTCTTTGACTTACCCCTGGTTCATCAAATTTCTCATCAGACACTGGTGACGTTTTACAAAGTCTGAGTAGGAGCTGCAAGCTCTTGCATATCAAATAAGTTGGGAAATTGATATCCCGTAAGCAGGTGAAGTTGGTATATTGCTACTAAGGTGGGAAAAATTGATAATTTTAAAATTAAAATCGTCTCGTTTGTCATAGATTCTGGTACTGAGATGACTGTGTATGTCAAATTCGAGGTATAAGTCTAAAAA